CGATGGACGTCGATCGTCTTAAGGTAATGTAAAGTAGTAACATTATGTAAATAATAAACTTGTTGAAGGACTGAACGATTAAATTTTTCAATTCTTGGATAGTAATATGGCGGTAGCCTATTGTACTTACTGTTGATGAAGAGCAATATGAGGTGACGAGGTAATGATTAAATAATGAGGCTCTATAAGGACGACGACATTAGTGGGTGTCGAACCACAACGTACCGTGCCAGACTTGTTTCAAGTATCGTGCACCCAAAGACTTTCTTCACCCGCAACAGTATATGGTAGAATCAATGAGGATGCTACGTGGAACAGGAAAACTGCACTGCGCAGAAGTGCGGCTTACTCGTTAATATGAGGGACGGATTTCTAGCAGCATTCCCTGATTGCCTACTTGGAACAAATGGCCTCGTTGACGTAAAGTGTCCCCGTTCCAAAAGATTCTTGAAGCATATACTTAAACCGCAAAGGAGTATGAGGCGAAAAATAAGAAAAAGGAGCCTGGTGTGAAAGGTGCAAATCACCACCCTATAGCTTCTACTATCAAATACAAGGGCCGTTACACAATACACAACGAAAGTTTTGTGATTTAGTTATATTTACACTTAAGGGCATTTATATCCAACGTATTCAGAGAGATGACACCTCCTGGTCAACCAACATAGAGCCTTTTCTACTCAAGTTTTACATGGAAGGCCAGACTTCTGCTGAAATTCCTCACGTAGACGAGTTGTCCGACCGAATAAACTGCCATTACTCCCGATCTGGGAAACTCTCGATCTTTGTTCGTAAGCCATAGTATCATGAGATCGAGGAGTGTGGCTCTTCGTCCGCCGAATATTGCTTCGGTGGGTTTTTTTCCGTGTAAGATGAAACCGATGCGTGCTGCCGGAACAAGAACCTGGCGATTCTTCACTAAACTGCTTCTTCCGTAAGCTTCAAAAGGGATTTTTTTCGTTTCGCACACCATCTGCTCTGCTTGCCCGTTAGTTGCAGGATGGTATGGTGCGCACTAATGTGATGCCTGAAGCCGGTTTTTTTTTTCTTCAAAAACTTGTTTATTTTATTTGAAGCAAGATTGGGCGCGTTATCAGAGAAAAGTATTTTCGGTAGGGCAAAAGTAGGTAAAAGAGACCGTAGAACGTCAATGACCTGTTTGGACGTCATGGCAGGCATCATGTAAACTTCCAGCCACTTACAGTACGCATCGCCCATGATTCCGCAGATGTGGATACGTTTCGCCACCCACGGACTGAATAGTGGATCGTTTTCAGTTACTGTTCATGATGGCGTTGAACTGAAGGAAAAGTTCGAGTCTTTCCACTAAGTTAGCCCATGTGCCAGGACTTTTGTCGAAAGCGGTAAGTGTTCGAAACGTCGACAAAGTCGGTATACCCACGTGTTGTGCTTGACACTGGACACTTACCATTCGCTGAGAAGAAACTTGCTTGTTCGTCTGCCATGAGTCGTCCGATATCAGGTCAACACCGCAACACCATCTCCCGACAAAACTGGTCTTCATTGTCCGCATGTCCATAGTTAGCAATCACGTGAACTTATAAATTCCCGAACGCTCATAACTTGCCGTCGCTAAACGCCGTTCATTCATAGCGTCTTCATTGCAAATAAACGTCTTCCTATTTCTTCTAATGGTTTTCATCATATTCCTCCTAAGCTGAACTTACAACATTATGTGTGTCGGTACTTCCGAAAATATTGCAACGGCATTTGTCTTCTGGGAACCCCCCCTATAATGTAACAACCTTTACAACATCTTCCGGACCCCGTGAAATATAATATTTCGTGACCTTTTTTTAGTCGTCATTAAAATGGTGAGGTAAGTACCGTAAATCGCGAGGCAATTTACTTGACGTCCGCTTCCACTGGTGTCTTGGAAGATTGAGTCTACTGAGCGTGCATTCCTGCAGAGGAAATTTTCATTGATGGAATATTGACACGTCAATCAACGTTTGATTCCTTCTTGGTAAGATTTATTGCGAAAGCCCGTTACAACCGCCGACCGCATCTCAATTTATACCCAGCCTGACCACGCTACTTGAGCTAGCTGAGCACAGCTGGCAGCGGCGCGAGCAAGTCCACGAGGGGAACGTGATGGTGCTCGAGCCACCCCACTGTGAACCAATATTTCGGCCACCCCACGGGTGCGTGTCGCCATCTATTGGTTGAACTAACGCCTTGTTCAAGATGACTGCCGTGGGAACGCAGCCTTAAGCAAAATACTTCATTAAACGTTGTGTGCGCTCGTGTTAAAAAAAAAAAAATCCAGCAGTGCCATTTGGTGGTTAAAGTAGGAATTATTGGTATGTTCCTGGCGCTATGTTTCCGCGGGCGAGCTCGCGTTTCTCAAGCCTCGTTAGGTTGTCTACAGCATTAAGGGCAAAAAAATAACTAATTTCTTTGTTGCGTGCAGAACTGTATCAGTATGTTGAATTAACAGCGCAAATATGACGAGGAAGGATAGACAAAGGAGACAGGATAGAGTGCTGAACTAACAACTGACGTTTAATGAAAAAGAGAAAGAGGAAAAGGCCCTAAGAATGTTTTTAAAAATGTATAATGAAAACCCGCAAAAACCCGCAATTTTAAGCTGCTCGCTTAAAAGACTTTTTTAAAAACGATTGAGTCCTGGGACGACGTGCATAAAACTCCGGTATAAAAAAGAGAAAAGAAAAAGGAAGTTTACGTCTAAAATATTCACAGAAGCTAAGGATAGTTAAAGATCGCGACTTAAAAAGTAAAGTTCTTTTGGTGACAAAGCCACGGACGGCGCGCTTACGCAGGCATCCCCACTGGACAGAATAACCTTTGCCTCGTAGAGCTCGCCAGTTCGCCGTTCCCCGAAACGTTTCAGGATTTTTGTTTTTCTGAAGAAGGCGGAGCACTAGCAGTCCCTGACATGTATGGCAAAGTGGCCTGCTGGCGACGACTTTAGTGACACGGTATGTTCTCTAGACGATCGTTGACACACCTTCCTGTCTGACCCACATACAGTTTCCCACAAGTAAACGGTATTTCGTATACGACTGCACATTGGCATTCGACGTATCTTTGGTGATGTTCAACTCCGCGCACATCCTGTTGCTGGTGCTTGTTGTTAATTTTCGGACACAACTTCTTTAGTTTGTCCAGCGCAAATAATACGACTTTGATGTTAAACTTTGATGCAATATTCTTAAGGTGGTGGGAAATGCGGTGAATGTATGGAAGCACAGCCGGTCGGATATTTGTGTCCTTTTTATCGTCTGTGCTCCACGTGAGGTGATAATGGACTCGGCAACGTCATACAAGATGGAACTTGGATAGCCAGAATCTTGAAGACGCTGCACTTGATTATGAAAGCTTTCCTCCGCTGTATGTACACAGGATTTCTTTGGCGCCGCAATTAGGGAGTTTTTTTACGATTCCTCTCATAATAATCTTTCAATGTGCCGAATCGAATTGCAGGAGGCCTTTCTTGGATCTTGGGGCGTACTTCTAACAAGTATGATGTTCAAAGAAAGATAGTCGTAGATCCAAGAATTGAAGGACGGTGTTCACCGGTAACTCATGTGTGAACTTGAGCCCTTGTCCTTTTTCAATGAAAGTGGATTGTATGTTGACGAATATTTGTAATTCATTGTCTGCCGGTCGTTCTGTGAGGAGAACCAGGTAGTCTTCCACGTACCTAAAGATAAAGGAAACTTGGCCGATGGGAAGGGCATTAGCTATTGTCCGAGCACAATGCGATAGAAAAATATCGCAGAGTGCATGTGGATCAAACAGGAAGCTGTGTCAACGATCGTCTAAGAGAACATGCCGTGTCACTAAAGTCGTCGCCAGCAGGCCACTTTGCCATACATGTCAGAACTGCCAGTGCTCCGCCTTGTTCAGGAAAACAAAAATTCTGAAACGTTTCGGGGAGCGGCGAACTCGCTAGCTCTTCGAGGCACAGCTTATTCTGTCCAGTGGGGATGCCTGCGTAAGCGCGCCGTCTGTGGCCTTGTCACCAAAAGAAATTTATTTTTTAAGTCGCGATCTTTAACTACCCTTAGCTTATGTGAATATTTTAGACGTAAACTTCCACTTTCTTTTTTTCTTTTTTATACCGGAGTTTTATGCACCTCGTCCCAGGACTCAATCGTTTTTAAAAAAGTATTTTAAGCGAGCAACTTAAAACTTAATATCCTTAGCAATTCATTTTCAGGCAGTGTATGGGAGTACTTAAGCTATAGCATATGTTTTTGCTGGTTTTCATAATACATTTCTAAAAACATTCTTAGGGCCTTTTCCTCTTTCTCTTTTTTATTAAACGTCAGTTGTTAGTTCAGCGCTCTATCCTGTCTCCTTTGTCTATCCTTCCTCGTCGTATTTGCGCTGTTAATTCAACATAATGATCAACCAACGAGCCCGCCAGATGATCGTGATGCAGAACTGTATCAACGGCTGAATTAATAAAGTTAACAAGCTATCCTCTGAGAAAATTCTAGTGATTTCCGGGCGAACCGTAGGAAGTAGAGCCGGCGGAGCGTCGAAGGCAATGAATCTCAGCTGTTCTACGGTGGGACCCGCCACGTAAACTGCGTTCGCGTCGTCGTCGTCTTTTTTTTTTTAATATATTTAGTGCTTTTGATGCAAAGTTGCCTGTAGCTCGCACCGCCACCGTTTTGGTGCAAATCGCTAGTGGCAGTTCGTGAACGGAGAAGCTAAACGTCCTGAAGCGCGTACTTCGTGGGGAACGAAATGAGCCTCACGTCACCCGGTTTAGATGCAACTTTCACTGGTGGTGGTGCCGCGGTGTGAAAATCGCCCTCCCTTGCTCCTAGATGACTGGCTTCACAAGAAAGGTGCTTGCCCAAACTTCCTGGCGGAAAAAAATAAAGTGAGGCTCTAATACTGCTCGTTTATTGCAAAACTAGAATTACTTACACGTCGCAGACCCAGCCTCGTACTGCTGTTCTACGACGATCCTCCATGCAGATGACAGCCATTTTTATAGGCACGAGTACGAACCCTATAAACTGTGAAAGTTGTGAACATAAAAAAGAAAGAAAGAAATAAGAGAACTCTGACGGCGTGACGGTTACCTAGGTTGCGGAACTTTATACCAAAAAAGATGTCCCCGAAATTTATTTTGAAACCCGCAAAATATGTGGTGTTTACAGTATTTTTCTGCTTGCACCTTTTCCTTATGAATGAATTATCAACACACTTTTTGCCTTGTTCGGGTTTGTTCGTGCCTATTGATTCGTTACACAAACCAAGAAGCATGAAGTATAAATCAAGAAGCTGTTGATTAATGGGTGCGAAGGGACAAACTATTTCTGCTAGTGGCGGTAGAGTGTAGTCACAATTCCTCGTCTATTATTTCAAGATACTGTTAAGCCCTCTTGGGGTTATTGCGTGAGAGAGTAAAGAAAGATATACACTAATAAACAGCAGCAGGAAATGAAATACACCGCATACATAGAGCACAATTTGCATTCGCTTATACATAAGCAAACATATAAACGAACCAAACAAAAAACTTACGGATAATATTACAATGACTGCAGAGCAACATTAGAAAACGCAGCTACACCACTCAATGGTAACAAGAAGAAATTAGTTGCCCAGGCGATTCAGAGGAACATAAGTTCCCCTGAAGCGCTTGTGTAGGGGAACAAGTTCATAATTTCCTGCGGGAGAAGGTTCAATTATATTGCTTTAGGAAAAAAGTAATAGTGAAATACATTGATTCAACTTTGAGATGGCTAGATCATTTTAGAATGTCTATTTCTTAAAATGCAAATAATATGGGGTTTCAAATGCAGGGTGTAGTTAAAGTGAAAGGGACTAGGATACATCATGGCATCATGATACATCTAAACCGTTGCTTCGAATCTGCGAAGCATTTGTACAAACTCCCATAAAAGGAATATTGCGGAAGATTGCAAAAGAACTGCTCAACAATTTTTGTCATTTAAATTAATTTCCGACCAAAGTTTCCTTGAAAAACATTGTTATCCACTAGGTGAGCTCCCGTTTCTCGCAGAAACGTCTAAAAATGCAGAATGGTCTAAACACTACGCAATTTTTTTTTCGAAGGTACTTAAAAAAACTTTAAATTTGGTAGCCTGCAGAAGTAAAGTATAGTTTAAATGAGAACCTTTGAACGTTCTCTATCTACGCAAGAAAAATCAGAATTCTAAGAAAATGTCGCAAGTATAGCCTCGACGAATATTTCTATTGCTTCAACTGCCTTATTGGTTGTTAGTAATTAAACTGAGCTCGTAAATTGCAGTATATTTAATTACTTTTAAAAATGTCTAAATCTGTAGGGTGACCCAAGTCCCAATAGGCTCGATCTGAAATAAACCGTAAAAATCGACGCCTGCACGTAGCAATCTAAACTTTTCGTCAACGGTGTATTTAACCGGTCGTTTTTGTAAAATTACAAAGCATAGCTCTCTTTCTGCAAAAAAAGTAGGGCCAAGAAACTTGCCAGGGTCTACGGCGCCCGGGCGGCGACGCAGACGACCAAATCCACTAGTGGGGTGTGTTTGGCGTTCGTATTGGCTGGCGGAGTGATATTAAATCGTTTGAGGGGCTGGCGTCACGGAATTCTGGCCTCATGCTTGCTCAAGCACTAGCGCAGATTCAGAACTCATTGCGCGCTTTGCTGGTCCACCTGAACGGCATTCTTCAAATAAAAACGGCGGAAAAATATATTAAAATTGTGATTTCTATGATATTTAGCACGTTGGTTTTGATTAATTGCTAATATTCCTCGCCCCGTAAGAAAATATTTCTGCGTCTTTGCCACGCCGCAATGCGGAGCGCAAATTCGTCTGCTTTTTTTTTTTTTTTTTCCTTTTTTTTTTGTGCACGGGTTGTGGTGACGTCAGAACGCCGAGCTCTGATTGGTCCTGAATGAAGAATAGTGGGTATACCTCAAGTCAGCTTGCTTTGAGGTCTGCCCACAATCCTTCATCAGAGCCAATCAGAGCTCGCCGTCTTTCTGACGTCACCACAACCAGCGCAAAAGAAGCAGACAAACTTGCGCTCCGCATTGGAACGCAAGTTTTAAAAAAAAGTATTGCAGTAGGGAGAGTAGCAAATAGTTTGCGTGCGCCCGCACTGCTCACCTCGTTATGAAGCCATCCCCAGTGCTCATGGTGTCCCACCTGAATCCAATACGAAGCAGGGCGCTAAGACTTCGTTGTAGTAAGCAGTTCTTATACGCCCCGATTCGATACATTAGTGACAGAGTGGGCAGCGTCACTAACATGTGAAGTGGACACTGATGCAGTGATATACAATATACCTTCATATTGTTTCATTCCCTACAAGCTTTCATAAAATAATTAATGTTTCTTATTTCATAATTGATTTAGGCTCATCGGGAGCCTGTGTAGTGAGTCCTTGCTTACCGTGCTCTTAAGAATCGATTAAACAAAACAGCCGGCATTTCACGCAAAAAGATAAAACTTTCAACGAATAAAAACATTCAGTAGGTCACGTGATAACAAAGTCAGAACATCCATCGTGTCAAAACATCCATCCGAGTTCATACATGCATCGAGTCAAAACGTCTATCGAGTGAAAACGTCCATCCGAGTCTCAACATCCACGAGTCAAAACATCCATCCGAGTGAAAACGTCCAACGCGTCAATATATCCATCGAGACAGAACATCCACGAATCGGTGTTTTAACTCGACGGATGTTTCTGACGCGTTAAGTGTTGTGACTCGGAATCCAGGCGGTCGGGGATTAAACAAAGCGGCCGGACTTTCACGCTCGTCTTTTGTTTCCTTCAACGTAAACCCCGAAAAACAGCACATTTTCGTCTCTTTGACTTCAGAAATAGTCACTAGAGACCAGTATTGGTCGTGATTCGTTACGAATAGCGGCGTTCCCAATAACGGGTAACATTTCCGTTACATTTAAAAAAAAAATATAACGAGTAACGTACTTCCGTTACTTATTTCGAGTAACGTGTACCATAGTTACGTTACTCGTCGCACATTCTTTCCAAAACTTAAAAAAAATGCCTCAATTTATTTTTTTTTTCTTGTTTATACATGTGACTTTTGACCTATTGTTATGCGGGGACATCGAATGATATTCCTGATATTCCTGATGATATTCCTGATATTCCACTTACAATGGAGGAAATGGTTAAGCCCATTCCGTTGACACAAAACGTGATTATGAATTTTTTCGAAGTAATAAAAAGTAACCAACAACAGTCTGAAAGCAAATTGGACAGCATAGCCAAAAGGGTTCAACAGACCGACGTAATGGTGCAAGGAGACTAAAGTGCTTAAAGATCAAGTCGTAATTGAAGACCTTTCTGAGTGTCAGAGGAGGCTGGGCTTGGCGCTATGGGTCAAAAACGAACAGGAATCGACCCGTCATCGTTAAAATATTTGATTCCGCAGAAAAGAATAACCTTTAAAAAAAACGCAGACTTCTGAAGGTCAGTAAGATGACAATTGGAGCACGACCATTCCTGGATGACACTTCAAAGGCACAGGAAGTTGTGGGAATGCAGCAAGCGGCATCGTGATAAGGGGGAACACGTTTTCTTGATTCATAACAAGTTAAAGATTGGCGATAATCTTTTTTTTTTTTTGTATGTTGGACGACATCAATGGGGGAGCCGTGTATAGAAAACAAGCAGAAACAGAAATCGTACTGTAAGCACCCGCTGAAATTATTTAAGATCTTGAGCTTCAATGGCCAGAAATATATGATATAAAATAGACATACCGGAAAGGATCTTGTTGTTTAATGACCCCTACATTGTTGTCATTACGGAGACATGGTTACACGATGGTAATGGGGACAACGAAATTGTCCCAACTTCGTACACAATTATTCGAAAAGACAAAGGATCGAGAGGCGGTGGTGCAACCATAAAAAATAAAAAAAAAACAGTAGACCTGGTGCCAATAAATAGCGTTCAACGCAGAGGTATTACGGTGTAAAGTAACAATCCACAGAAATATATTTATTGTAGGTGCCGTTTATAGACCCCCAAATACCTCGCCGAAGCTTGTAGAATATGTATAGGATTACATTGCCCTACAATTTAGGGACAAAGATAAGATTATTTTGACGGGAGAATTTAACATTCCCAGTGTTGATTGGACAACAAGTGGGTAAAAATTAGGTACTGTCCACAGAACTGCTCCTGTATACTGCATTTTATCTCAACGAGAAACAAATGCTGGTCAAGAAACAATATACTTGTTTTGTTTTTTTGTTAGTAATATGGTTGAAGCGGACGGGAGCGATATTATAAATGGCGTGTCAGATTAAAATATGTTGGTATTTTCATCGCAACTCTCGAAAAGCACATCTCAAAACACCCGTCCAGAAAACTTAGTTCACGATTTCCAAAATGCGGACGATGTGTCTGTTCTTGACAATCCAGAAGAGCATTTTGATCATTTCAGTCATCTATCTGATGTCAACGAGCTGTGGAGAAGGTTTAAAAATATTGTGTCCCACTGTATACGCCGTTTTGTTCCTTCAAGGAAAGCGAGAGCACAAAGGAGACATCCTTGGATAACGAGAAATTCTGCAACTGAAGCGAAATATAAAACGCCGAAGAGAAAACAAAGTAAGAAATACTACTGAGATAGCAAATGAAGGACGATAGTTAAAAGATCTCGTGACGCAAACAAAGAAAAGCTACTGTGGTAATGTGCTCTCGCGGTTCTTGAGGGAAGCCCCACAGAAATGTTGGCGCTTCTTTTCGACTCCGAAGGAAGAAACGTCTAAAGAGTTACTTCATAATGAGGTCGCCTCATGTCCTTTTTAGAATTGTGGAAGAATTGAACAAATACTTCCAGTCTGTCTTTACGGTGTCACGTCACCCGCCGGTAGACCTTGACAACGGACCCAATGACTCACAAATGCCAGAGTTGCTTTTGCCAGAAAGTGGTATTTTTAATTTACTTCTGAATATAAATGATAGAAATGCATCCGGACCAGACAACACCTCCAACGCATTTCTGAAAAGATATGCCGAGTGGGTGTCGCGGTACTTATATTTAAATTTTCAAGCGTCTTTCCTTCAGAGTAAGCTACCAGAAGACTGGCTATGTTAGAAAATTGTGCCCATTTACAAGTCTGGAAATAAGATGGACTTTTAAAAGTATCGCCCTACATCTTTAACAACCGACATGGTGCACACTTTTACAACACATAACTTCTAAAAGTATAAATAAATACTTATAGGAAAATAACTTACTGTATAAGAACCAGCACGGGCTCGGTGGGGTCTATCGACAGTCACGCAACTATCAGAGGTCAAACGCAAGTTTGCATCGGCTATAAACGAACGAAGTCAGATGGACGTAATAGTTATTGATTATCCTAAACCGTTTTACCGGGTACCCCATGACAAATTAGTTAAAAAATGAGCCTCTTTGGGATTAAATTTGGCTTTGATATCTTGGATACGTTTTTATTTAGTATGACGAATGCAGTATGTTAGCTGTAACAGAGCTTGCTCTCCCCCTTTAGCAGTTTACTCAGGATTACCGCAAAGATCAGTGTTAGGTCTTCTACTATTACTAATTTATATAAATGGTATAGCAACAAATGTACCTTCCTCTGTTCAAGTTAACATGTTCGCAGACCACAGTATGGCATTTTCTCAAGTGGCTACAGTTCAGGGCCAGGACATTCTCAACCAGTCCTTGGAAAAAAATATTTTTGTGAACTAAGAAATGGGGTATGGTAATTAATTTTGATTAAACTCTCTCGCAGCATTACCAGTAAGAAAAAGGTCTTAGACTTGTTGTATTCTTCAGACGATTTCGAACTTAATAAAGTAGAAGAATTTAAGTATTTAGGAGCCGTTTTAGCTTCTGTGCTGGAATAGTCTTGTCGGTCACATATACGCCAAGGCTTATCTCTAAGCTTTCTTAGAAGGCATCTTAAACGTGCAAATAGAGATGGCAACAATAATCCCTAGACAGGGGCGAACAAAGTGGACAAAGGACACCGAAAAAAGTCCGCCTGGTCCGGGTATCGAACCCGGGACCTAGTGGAGCGCCCTACCAACTGAGCTAACCAGGGGTTAGGCGTCAGTAGAGCAAACGGGTTTTATCAGCTGCCACCAGCCTAACGCCAACAAAGGTGAACGGCCTGCATTATTAAGGTTATGATTTATATGCAATTAATGCAAAGGTGCAAGCGAGCAGGGCAGGAATGGCAATAATAATCTCTGGAGAAGAGGAACAAATGGGACAAAGGACAAACACAAATTTCCAAACACAGCGACCGAAAAAATCTGACGTCTAACCCCTGCTGTATCCCACCTGAGCCTGGTTAGCTCAGTTGGGGTAGAGCAGGGGTTAGACGTCAGCAGATTTTTTTGAGCTAACGCCTGGTTAGCTCAGTTAGAGCGCTCCACTGGAATTGTAGAGGTCGCGTGTTCAATCCCCGGACCAGGCGGATTTTTTCGCGCACCACTCACGTAGCTATGTTTGGAGATTCGTGTCTGTCCTTTGTTCCCCTTCTCCAGGGATTATTATTGACATTTTTGTCCAGCTTGCTTGCGCCGTTGCATTAATTGCATCTTAATGAAATGGAGATGTTCGGCCAGCTGCGTATAAATGTTATGTACGCCCAATATTGGAATATGGGGAGTGCGTATGGGACCCATACAGGAAGCAGCAGGTCGCACAAATAGAACCGATACAAAATCTGGCACTTGGTTTTTTTTTTATTTTTTAGAACAGGCGCACTGAATCGGTTACTGCGATCACAAATGAAGTACGGCTTGACTGTTTAGGAAAAATAATGAAAATGTTAAGATTAAAAGAATTATACGCTTTGGCTAATGGCTTGACGAAGATTAATCCTGAATTCTACATTTTGCCTTCAACATCCCGCTCCAAAGGGGCGAGCAATGCTAAAGCAATTTCACTCTACCACTAACGAAACAATGGCTTTAAATACTATTTAGTAGTATTTTCTTCTTTCCGAAATATTATTAAGTAGAACGCTCTGCCAGAGAAAGTTGTCAATTGTTGTAATCCTGAATAATTTGAAGCACAGTTGAATTAATTGTTTAGTTAAGTTTGGCGAGTGGAAATGTACATCTTGAGCATGCATAAGTATCTACAACCCTCCTGCGCTCGCTTCACGCCGTGAGTACATGACTTAATTTCTTGTTTTGTGTGTGTGTTTATTTCCCTTTTTATGTAGACCGAAAGGACCACAGTATTTTAAATAATTAAAAATAAAGTCACATTTTTATGTGTTTTTTTCCAATGTTTATTGTGTGTAATTAGGTGAAACCTTAAACAAGATAAGGTGATTATTTTCAGCTTTTGTGCGGAAATAATGTTTCTCGAAATATGGTGCTTATGCATACCCGCAAGGTCAAAAGAGTAAAAAGTGTTTATTTATAATTAAAAATTGAACGCGAAATTAACGTGCGTTACGTTTTATCGGTAACGGTAAAGGTAATGCCTTCCTTTTATTTGCGAGTAACGTATTGTGTTACTTTTTTCGGTAACGCCTGGAACACTGCTAGAACCGCAAAATCTCCGGGCAAAAAAAAATAAAATAAAATAAACACTGAAGAAAACACCGCCTAATTTGAAAATAAATAAACTCTGGAAATACAGAACCTTAAGCGCCGTTCACACATTTGCAACCGACTAAGACCGAGAGACACAGGACCAGCCGGTTCTTAAGCCACTTGCGACGGCGGACGACCGGATGCGCTGCTGCAGAGCACGTCCTCCGTCGTCGCAAGAGGCTTAAAAACCGGTCTTGTCTCTCTCTGTCCTACTCGGTTGCAAGCGTGTGAACGGCGCTTTGAGGTTCCGTGTCACTTTTAAGTCCCACCGCAACCGCACTCACGCACAGTGGATGCACCACGTCTCAGTGAGCGATTGGTTTAGCCGGGGAATGAAGAAAAACAAAGATAATGAACGCCGTGAAGATGCACTTTTATGGCTGCTTTGATTGGCTCCACAGATACCAGCGTCGGCCGCGGTCAGACTTCAATATATAAAACGGTCTATAGTCACAACCCCGAAGCCTCCCCCAACCTTTACCTGACGTGATCCACCAGACGTCGGGCACCCGCGTGTGGATCCGCCCTGAGTTCTTCGTAGGTGAGCACCAGCACGTTGGACTCTTCTCGACGGCTCCACAGTGACAGCAGGTGATCGAAATAGTCTCCAGAGTCCACGTTGCCCTCCATAAACTCTTCGAAGAAGTCATCGAAGCATCCGTCGTCAAAGTGGTAATACCGAGAGAACCCACGCACGTGATGGTACAGGGACACGCAGACGTCCTTCGGGTTGCGGAACACCAGGACGTAGCGCGGCTTTTCGCTCCACGGCATCACCGTGAAAGACAGGTGAGTCTTGATGGGCTGGGGAAACAGGTCCAGTCCCCGCAGCAAGTCCAGTCCTCCTTTCTCCAGGTAAGGTACGAAGCTGTCCAGTCGACGTCCTCCCGGTACGGGGACCATGTCCCTTACCAGAAGGTAAAGCATGTGCTGCACCCAGGTCGTCCCGGACTTGGGGTAGGTCATCAGCACGATGTCCTTGGGGGACAGCGGGTGTCGGCAGGCGGCCTCAAAGCCAGCCCATTCGAAACCGTCTCGGGGAAACACCCAGCCCGTGGCGGGGTGTCGCTTGTACGTCGGCTTGTGTCGCTCGGTCATCGCTGAGCGCGGTTAGAATGAGACGTCTCTTGCTGTTCTGGCTCATTGGAGAACGAGGGCGAACGAAGAGGAAGGACGGAAGCGTCGCTGTCGCGTTGAGAGCCGGGAATCGCTCGACGAGTACGAGGAGGAGGAATCGCTCGTAATTATGGCAAGGTCAAACGGTACGCGTCGATTAAAGTGCAGCGTAGAGAGCCCCCAAAGCTCGGAGCGGGGTGTCGCCATAGCATTCCCCCCTGGCGCGGCGCTATCGGACGCTCTTGATTATGGAGGTTTCTGATTCCCGTGCTGCAGAGAGCTTATGTCGTGATTGCGTGTTTCGGGGGCGGTTTTAGATATCTCTGCAGCGATACGGAACTTTCTCTATTCTCCTATCGCGTTGGCTATAGATTTACAAATGAGTAAATCCTACTCGGTTCGAACTTTTTTTGAATGACACAAGTGTAGATAATGTCTCAGCATCTGTAACAGGTTCAAGAAAAAGAGAACTGCCATTCTGCTGCTAATGTATTTACATGGATCGATGTTACTGTTTGTATAAGTATGCACTGAACGGGTCAGCTAAAAGAGGCCACTTGGTATAACACCATCTGGTTCAATATCGTCAGCAGGCTGACGGGCAGAACCAAAACAAAATTTAAAACTAACTTTTTTTAATAAATATCAAGTCGTTGCGACTGTGAGTTTCCCTAAACATCATGTTATAACACTAAGCTTTAGCTGATTGTAGCATTTTTGATAATTGGTCCTGATATATCTTAACCGTGGTGTAATACGCCAAAACAACAGGGACAAAAAACGAAGGAAGAACTAGACAGAACTTCCTGTATAGTTCAACCTTCGTTTTTTGTCCTTGTTGTTTTGGCGTATTACACCATGATGCAAAACCAACTAGCCCAACTAGCCATCCTTATCTTAACCGACTGCAGTTTTTAGGATATTTAGATGTAACAAATTTTTAGTAGATCCTATTGTCAATTATTTTTTTTCAAGTGAATATGGGGTTAACCACGGATTTTAGATTTTGTTCTTCCTAGATGCCTTGAATATCTTGTATAATTGTAAAAAAAATTAAATTTGTAAATCGTTTTAAATAAATTTAAACACCCATAGACCTAACGAACATCCTCACAGCGAAACATTCCATTCAAATTGGTCTCTGCAACCTCTCGTCCGAATGCATTCAACCATTGGGTGGTTCTATGCTGAAATCGGATTGATTATCTTGTTTGTTTGTTTAAACGTTCTAGCTTATGAACTTAGCATTATTGGATAACGTCAATAAGATAACGACTAGGGAACACGCTGAACCTTATTGACTCTTTTCTGACCGTTCCACTCAACTCTCCCGAAGCGAGGTATCGGCATGTCCACTTATCACGGATGTGTGCGCGCACATTGCGAACGAAATCTGAGATCGCTGAGCGGCTGTGCTATAGACGATTTTCGCGCATTAATTACTCGAACCTCCACAAGACGGCGCGCCCTCTAAGCCGCCATTGCTGACCTTCGAATTTGACCGCGCCTGCTCTTCCGGCCCACAGGCCACATCGCTAGCGGTCGACAGCGTGTAATAAACTACCGCAGTGACACTCCTAATCCGCGTCTATTTGGCAAAATGTGCTCAGTGGTGGCTAGAAAAAACTGCAGTATAGACGTTAATGTCTGGTAATACGCTGTAGTTCACAACGTGGTACCAGACCTTGCTGTCTCCAATGCAGTAGCAGTACTCGATGAGTATCATAAAGTACTGCTATACCGTAGTTCCCGGACTATAGTCCGCTCGCAAATTCCGATTTCAGATGAAAAAAAAAATTTTTTTTCCTTAGCTAATTATCACTTGGTGTATACTCTACAGGCTCCAATTTCGGTTGAGGGTGAAAAAAGCGCATGAAAAAAAAAATGGTAAAAAAAATGATGAAAGAAACGCATTGCCACATCTGTCAACATCCGTCTACACATACAATATGCGACTCCAACTCTAGTGAGGGTATTCGCTCAACTTAACGTGATGCAACATAGAACCTTTGACCACCATCGGCTTGGCCCGGGATCCGGCCAACTCGTCGAAAGCCGACTCGTCGACGGCCCATTTGTCGAACAGGGCAATTCGTATTAGGGCAATTCGTCGAAGGACAACTTGTCGCAAGAGGAAATCGGTCGAAGGGCGATTCGTCGAATGGGTTGAATGACGGTTCAAGGTAAACGTTCGCGGTTTCTTTTTTTATCTTTTTGCCTTTATTTTTATTTGTGTTGCACTATGGACAGCTCCTTCGATAAGTTACAAGATTGAAAGAAAAATTACAAGAGGGCAAAGAAAGGAGAGAACTTTTAGACAAGTTAAGAAATGTGTCGTCTTAGGATCGTCCCTTTGCTACCTTTCTTTATTACTTATTTTGTAATGAGCCGCCGCAGACTGTCGTCGCGAAGCGGCGTCAACTGATGGGCCCGGTAGGTTAACACGCTCCCCAGTGATACACGAGCGCCGTAGTGATTGTGCACCACTGCACCGTGAAAGTGGCGAAAGCGCAGGTCGTTACCTTAAACAAGAAAGAGAAGACTAAGGTCAATCTTTTTTTTTTTTTTAAACAGAGCGCCTATTGTACACATTTTTTTTTTTACGAAAGAGTTACACATAAAAGACGGAACACGAATTATTATAGGGCAGTATTTGGTTTAAGATTTAAGGGAAAAATTATATATTTGGCTTTAAAAAACGGCGACCAGTTGGCCTCTTCGACGAGTTTGCCTTCGACGAGTTGCCCTATGACGAATGGGCCTATTCGACGAGTTGGCCGTCGACGAGTTGGCCTACACCGTGCTGGGCGAAAAAACAGATGGAATTAATTCGCGCAATTGAACGGTTATAAGCGGATTGCGGACTGGCGCCGTAGTTGTGAAGTAACTAGAATCGTAAGGCACTATCACTTTTCAGCATTTTCTGTTTCACATTACACGTAAGTATTATGTCCTTCTCATATTAAAAAAAAAAAGTGAAAGCCGTTTACAAATCCCTGTAACGCCGAATTGGAGCGCAGCTCTTGAGGGGGAGGAGTGAAGGGTACTGAGGGGAGGGTAGACCCCTCCTCCTCCCCTCATTCTTTAATATGCTCCGGGGGGGCGGTCACGTGACCTCGGGGGGGGGGGGGGGTGTCACGTGACTTCGGGGAGGGGGGTCACGTGACCTCGGGGGGTCACGTGACCTCAGAGGGGTCACGTGACCTGGGGGCCACGTGGGGGTCACCTTGGGGTCACGTGACCTTGAGATGACCTTGGGAGGGGTCACGTGACCTTGGGGGTCACGTGACCTTGGGGAGGAGACCACGTGACCTCGGGGGTCACGTGACCTCAGAGGGGTCACGTGACTTGGGGGTCACGTGACCTTCAAAGGGTCACGTGGTCTTGGGGTCACGTGACCTTGAGATGACCTTGGGAGGGGTCACGTGACCTCGAGGCGTCACGTGACCTTGGGAGTCACGTGGGGTCACGTGACCTTGAGATGACCTTGGGAGGGGTCACGTGACCTGGAGGGGTCACGTGACCTTGGGGGTCACGTGACCTTGGGATGACCTTGGTTACGCCGACGGCGACGCGACGGCGACGCCGCTCAAGCCGGGAACGGGCCCCTAAGAGCTGCGCTCTAAAAAATCAAGAACTAAAAACCAGGTGGGTAACATTCATTCCTTTTGAGAACTTGTAAAAAAAAAGAGTCGAACATTAACATATTTTACATCCCATAGCCAGCGGTCTAAACACGCTTATCAGCTGCAATTTTAAGGGGGTTTTCTACAGGTGCAGATCATAGAAATATTTCTTTTTCAAGAACGTTCATTTGACCCCCCCCCCCCCCCCCGCCACGTGGTCACGTGACCCTCTGAGGTCACGTGACCCCCCTCAGTACCCTTCCCGACTCCTCCTCAAGGGCTGCGCTCTAATTCGGCGTTACAGAAAGTTGTAAACGGCTTTCACTTTTTTTTTTGCGCTATAAGGCGGGCATTTTTCAAAACGTGCTGTATAAAATATATATATATATTTTTACGCTCGCATTACTGAAGACTGTTCGGTGGGTTCGGGCCGCCGATGATTGCCAGGTTGGAGTAGTGTATGATATTCCGGTGGCCTGTAGGTTTTCGTAGGTGGAACAGATGAAGCGGTTCCTAAATAATATGCTTCTTGATGCCATGCCATTCCATGATTGGCATCATGGCATCATGATGCCATGATTGGAGAGGCCTCAAGCCTAAACCCTATGTGCTACATAATCTATGCTACGTTAGAAATATCAAAGTATAATATTGTAAAACATTAGAGTAAAATACACTTCCTATTGGAAACCTATGTTTTTAAATTTCGAAATTTTATATTTTTAATGCGAAATTCAGGTTGATAAAAAAACAGAATCATTTTTTATAATATTTAGAGGCTTAAAACTCAAAACCAGTGCATATACCTCTAACGGATGATTCTGGATAAAATAAGGGTGTGAAAATAACGCGACGCGAAAAAAAGAAAAATCAAATTAATTTTTTTTTTATACAGCGTGCTGAAACTTAACGAAGAGTGAAAACCTACTTTGTTTTATAATTTATTTTTCAGTAATCGTACATAACAAAGGTAAAAAATTTTGCTTCATTTGGAAGGCAATGGAGGGTTCTACACGTGGTATTATTTTGAAAGCGATGCTAAACATAGTCGACTCAGAAAAAGATCCGCAGTTTAGGTCACAGTTGTTCGCGGAGACTTGTTTGGGGATTTTTAGAAAGATTGGATCGACGAATAATAAATAGTAGTTGGAATGTCGTTTTATCGACTTGCATATATATCACACAAAAAAAAATATATATATATAGGAGCTCTCTTTTCAATACTTTGAGATTGAGAGTGGTTCAAAAACGCCACAAACGACAATCGTCAAAACCCACTATCGCCACTTGCTCTTTTTTAGCATATTTAGAGGCTTAAAACTCAAAACCAGTGTAAATACCCCTATGTATTCTGGGTAAAGAAGGGTGCGAAGAGAACGCGACGCGAGAAAAAGAAAAGAAGTAAAAAATTGTTTTTGTTTTCTACAGCGTGCTGAAATTGAACGAAAAGTGAAAAAGGCTTCTGTTTCATAGCTTATTTCTCAGTACTTGTACATGATAACAACACAAATTTATTTTGGAAGGCACTGAAAGGTTCTACACGTGGTATTATTTTAAAAGCAATATTAAACATAATCGACTCAAAAAAAAAAATCCGCAATTTAGGTCACAGTTGTTCGCGGAGGCGTGTTTGGGGATTTTTACGAAAATTGGAGCGACAAATAATAAATAGTAGTTATAATTTCGTTTTACCTACTTTCATATATATCAAACTAAAAAATATAGATGCTCTCTTTTGAATACTTTGAGATAGAGAGGGATTCAAAAACGCCACACACGACAATCGTCAAAACCTCGTGGTTCTTTCCCGCTTCTTTGAGATTTTTTTTTTCTCGGAAACCAAACATGTCAGGACATTAAAATAAAAAGGATTGTTCTTCTTGGAACATGCTCCACAAAATATAAAAGTTTGAAGCAAAATAAAAAATACGACTGTCACTCGTTGCCTGAATCCAATTGAAACCGCCCATATATATATATATATATATATATAGATAACTTTTGTTGATGGGTTTTTGTTGGCCTTATCAAGCGTTAGTGTGAGGCCTGTGACCGGATGCAGGAGGGTGCGCTTGATTAGGTCTTTAAAGGGGCGATGCAACGATTTTTGTATTTTGCGCAAATACCGCTTAGAACGGATCCCTGACGTTAATGACCTGTGAAATACCCGTTTGTTTTTCACCACACGCAATCGAAGTCACAAAAAAAAATAAAGGAAAACGAGCAGAGGTCATCCCCTCAACTCGCAGCCAGAACAAGCGGCCACGTGATCTGGAGCCGATTATAGGCCGCCAATGTTGATCATAGCCATGCGCTGGGGTTGGCAAGGCATAGGACACGCGTTGCGTTCCAGACATTGTTATGGTTCGGCTGTTGTCGTCATTGCAGCGATTGGACACAGGACACTACCCGAATGCTTCTTGAGCTGTCGATTATCACGAGCCCAAATTGAGTGCCCACGCAATGCTCGGGTCCAATCTGTAAGCCGCATTCAAATATCGTCACTGGGTGGTACTGCTACCGCCGAGCTACGTCATCAGGTTTTGCGAAGGAGAGATTGAATGAAAACGCTCGGTTTTGTCCTCGAAATTACAGCGCAACAAAGGAGTTTCTTGGTCAGTAATGATGAAAATCATTACTGACCTTTGCATTGAATTGCGTTATAATCTTGGTCAGTGCCGTTGCGTGCGAGTATCCTTGAGTCCCATTAGTGCCAGTAAGCTCGAGTAAAATAAAAAACATTCCAATTGAATATCGTTGCACCGCCCCTTTAAAGGTAGGGTGCTTTGCTTCGAATTGTTGCCTGTATCATTGTTGTGTACGAGGTGAAGTCGTTGCTTTGAATTGAGGTCATGACGGGTTGTACCTTGGTGGAAGGTCACAAAGACGTGTCCAAATCCCGAGAGACGTGTGTGAGAGATGATATATACATGGTTGTAACTTGTGTCAATAAAGTTCAGTGGCCGCGTTTGACACGTTTTGTGTTTGACCGCTTCTTCAACCGTCGTCTCCGGTTTTCTAAAAAAAAATGTGTAACTATTAATACTATCTTCTTGGCTATTCGTTTAGAAAATAACACTGCATCTGTCAGGTGGATTGACGGGGCACTGACGCACTTACTTCGCCCTCGCTTTCGATACAGAATGCATCGTTACATTCTAAGGCCGTTTTATCTGCGTATCTCCCGAGAATTGTTGTTTGTTCTAATTCTGGGTGACATGGGCACATATCCCAGTGCACTGCCAGATTGTCCGGCACAGGGACTGTTTTACTGACCATGCATGCCATCCTGCTACCACGCATGACCCCGCTTGTTATCTTGCTTGCCTGTTATCTTGTTATCAGCGGCCCCTGGAATATTTTGGCGGAGTGCCGAAAATGGCCCGCGTAGATATGGAGCACAGTCGACGGCGCCATACTGCGAAGTGCCACACTAAGAGCTGTAACTGTAATTTCGCTGTAAAATGTTTCATATCTTTAGAGATCACTAGCCACCCCCGCAACAGACAACCACAATACAAACCATCCGCTGCACCTGAACCGGAAACGTTCCTCATTAACAGCGCTTTGTGCAGCTGCGCCACGGGAATGTTCTAGCTGAAGCTACAAAGTAAGCTGCACTTCAGAGTATCGACGCATCAGCCCTCTCGGTGCTCAAAAACATTGTTTCCAGTTATCTTAAGCTTTACCTCAAATCGAAGAAAATATTTTCCTAATCCAAAAATGGTAAAATCTTCCTTGACAAAAGAAACGATATCGCTCTAGCTTCCTGGTATCGTATAAGGCTCAGGAAATGGCGTTTTTGAGTTGCAACTACCGCATCCGCTCTCCACTAAGCAAGAAAATGGCGACGCCCGCAACACCATAAAGTGACAATACTATAAGCGGAGCCAATTCAGGGACTCCAATTTTAGCGACAAGCTGTTTTAAGCGCAAAGTAGAGGGTCTATGAGCGCAACTTCAGGAAGTACGTGCCGACCTTGCCGCAATTACCAGGCATCCCCCTCCTCCGTCTCTAGTATTTCCCAGCTCTCATTGCGACAGCCACGCTTCCATCCTTCCTCTACTATCCCTCTATTACCCGGTGAGCCCTAACAAAAAAAAAAACACCCTTCCTTCCATCCGCGCTTAGGGATGACCAAGCGACACAAGCCGACGTACAAGCGACACCCCGCCACGGGCTGGGTGTTTCCCCGAGACGGTTTCGACTGGGAAGACTTCGAGGTAGCTTGCCGATATCCGCTGTCCCCAAAGGACATCGTGCTGATGACCTACCCCAAGTCCGGAACGACCTGGGTGCAGCACATGCTGTACCTTCTGGTAAGGGACATGGTCCCCGTACCGGAAGGACGTCGACTGGACAGCTTCGTACCTTACCTGGAGAAAGGAGGACTGGACTTGCTGCGGGGACTGGACCTGTGTCCCCAGCCCATCAAGACTCACCTGTCTTTCACGGTGATGCCGTGGAGCGAAAAGCCGCGCTACGTCCTGGTGCTCCGCAACCCGAAGGACGTGTGCGTGTCCCTGTACCATCACGTGCGGGGGTTCTCTCGGTATTATCATTTTGACGACGGGTGCTTCGATGACTTCTTCGAGGAGTTTATGGAGGGCAACGTGGACTCTGGAAACTATTTCGATCACCTGCTGTCACTGTGGAGCCGCCGAGAAGAGTCCAACGTGCTGGTGCTCACCTATGAGGAGCTCAGAGCAGACCCGTTGGCTGGTGTCCGACGTCTGGTGGATCACGTCAGGTAAGGATTTATGGATGCTGCAAGCGGGGCTGTGACGGCAGTCGGGAATATCACCGATTGTCATTTCAAAGATGAAGTTATATTTGTACAGGTAACACAATAATGATGTTCCTGGACAGCATACATGTTTTTTTTTTTTTTTTTTGCTTCTTGAACATGTTCCTAGATGATATTAAAACAGCCAGTTTTGGGGGGAAAAGGAACCGTGTTTTTCTCACCGCGAAACTAAACTATCCATCGCCCCAATCGCGGCCTCCGCCTAAATATAGCGCTATTGGTCGCAACCGGATTCCCAAGTTTTACAACTTACCCCTATCCGATTCAGAAGTTGGAAGCAACTTTGGTAAATTTTCAATAAGGCAATGGCGGTCAACGGATCCCGCGAATATATGGACACGAATGACGTCTGGTACTGGAAATCAGCCCCATTTTTCCATCAAAGTTTATCGAAAATCGTTCGTAAATTTTGAATGAAACAACGGTACATTCTGGAACTTTAGCATTTGTTTCAACTGCGCTACATTTCGGACTGAGGCTGAGCGTATGACAATACGAAGTTTGTTTTGCGGTGAGATAAACACGGTTCTCTTCGCCCACAAACGTTCTATAGCTTAATTGAACCAAAAAAGCTGTACATCACAAGTAGAATTACTTCTCCACACGTCGCAGTTTATTACAAATGCAGATTAGTGCAGCTTTTTGATAAAAACACAATACTCACCTTACAAAAAATAAATAATTGCACTCTGAAAACAAACAAAAAACGTTATTTTAATATCTGTTAAAAAAATAAAGATCGTAGGAGTCACCTAAATCATTTTTTTATTATTATCGCCATGACACACTTTCTTGTCTCTTCTGGGGCTGCTGTGACTTTGGCGATTTCATGTACGCGATAAACGCAATGCCGCTGCCTTCGCACTCTCAAGGTTAGCTTTTATGCGCTGACAGTAGGTCGCATGTAGCAGGTGCCCGCCGTTTTTACCCCTGGAACTAACCTTCTGAAAATGTGCACAATCATTTCCCAAATATTGCAAAGCTAGTCGTAAATATAACCGAAATTTACAATAATACCCGATAAAACTGCATATATTGGCATTTAGATTAATAAAAAGTAGTGAATTAAATATACAAAGTACTCTAGTAATATTTAATGCAACCATTTTTTTGTCTAATTTTTACTGAAGAATGGAACACAGACGAAGCAGATCGAAGTGAATTAGCGTGAAATAATGGAAGACAATTAAAGCAGATAAGCGACTTTAAACTCGTAGCACGTCTAAACTAAAGGTTATTTTCCTCATAAGTATGAAGAAACTTAAAAAAAAAGTTATCAGTTTAGCATCATTTATTTTTTATTTTGAAATTAGATCTTGAACTCTAGTAGGCTTGAAAACAGATGATAGTGTTCAGACCAGTTTATTCGTTCTGCTGATCCCTTTCAGAACTGTAGCAAAAATGAAAAAGAAAAAAAAAATATTGGGCATTTAATGTTCTTCTCAACTATTGTTTGAGGAGAGAAGAAAAACTTACTAAATTTTATTACTTCGTGGTTTTGGCATTTTATCTCGAAAATAGCTGGTTGCTCTGATGTCAAATAGTGCGGTGTATTTATTTTTATGCAGTTCCCTCTAAGGAGAATACATCCAACAATCTCCGGCAAGCAAAACAAAGATCAAATTTTTGTACGCTTTCGAAGTATAGGGAATGTCGCAAGTCGTACGTGTGGTTTTCAAACGCAATCTAGTATTTGTCAAACATATGTTTCATCGAGTTATGCGGCAGGAGGACGGGACGAATCGTTGCAGCGAAACGAATAATAAACTAAAACCTGTCGCAGCAGGGCCAAGTCTTGGGCGAGTTGGTTTTGCATCTTGACGATTAAAAAGCAGCGCGGACGAGGAGACGGCCCCTCTTCTCTTGTCCTCTGTCTCGTTCGCGCTGTTTTTGAACCGTCAATAAAACCTGTTTATTGCTGCTTTTTATTAAGTGCTAATAAACATATAGTTTTACTTATAAAGTTGCAGAGTGTTATAGAAGACAATTTATTCTGTGCTATAGAAAGCTATGGTACGCGCGGTTCCTCTTTCTGGCTGCCAAAAAAGTGCTAAAAATTCGAGGCACTCCCGCTGTTTTTAGGTTTGTTATCATCCGTGTTTTTGCAACCCCAGCCTTGCGTCCGTAGCGCAAATGGTAACTTTAGCGCACCGCAACGGTGCGCTAAAGTTATCATTTCTGCTACAGACGCTCTACACGCTCCCAGTATTTCTAAAGTTCACTGATTTAGTGGTTTTCAATTACGCTTAGCACGTTTCTAATATAAATTTACGTTCATTTTAGGAAGTTCCTTTTTATCAACCTCCAATGAAGAAACAACATTCATTCAAAGTGTTTTAATATGCGCAACGTTTAGACGGATACTGTAGTCACTTCTCCACATTCATTTAACTTTTGGTGGTGCCCCTAAAGAGCCCGTGAGCCCTCAGAAGGATACACCTTTTGTCAGGAATATGTATTTTAACGTAAATAAGAAGCACATAAAAGGATGCACAGTTGATGTTACATCGAATATGCTGTGAGCAAAGTAAATAACGCGCGAGAAAAATCAAACTACAAAAAAAAAAATCGAATGCCAATATGGGACATTAGAGAAATTACGATCTGTTATATAAAAAAAAAAATTTAAAAATAAGAACGGTACACAAGATAGCTGCGGTCAGCAATTCTGCCCAAAAACTTTTAGATGTGCAAAAAAAATTACTTAAAAATTTAGCAGTAATCACATAACAGAATTTTAACGCGTGGAAATATCTATCTATAGGAAAAGCTCACCACTTTTGACCTCTGAAAATAATATTTAATGCGTTCAAGTGGTCGCATGCTTTGCGGCTCAGAGCAACCAAATACATGAGTGGAGCGAACAGACCGATTCGGTACAGCGATAAAAAAAATACAAAGTTAGCGTAGGACAGAGTAAATAGAACCGTGGAGACATTTATGTAAGAACAACAAAGCGTGTGCCATTCTTGTTTGAGAGATGTAGTAAAGGTCTAAATTCCGTAGCAGCCACTCATGACTGAACTAAATCTCCCCGCTAAAATAACAGTCATAAAGCACGCAAAAAAAAAAAAAAAAACTTTTTCACGCATTTTTAAGCTTATGCGTGTGCGTGTTTTGTTTTGAAAGTTCCATATGGTGCTGGAAAAGTCCAGCTTTGACAGGATTAGCGATCTTTAGAAAGCACGAATAACGCTTAAAAGGGCGAATCATTCTGGTGATTCTGCCCAAAGTGCGGTAATACGCGATATGTTAAGAAAATTTAAATTCAATATCTCAAACTAGGCCATCCCGTATTACTGAGACGCGCTCAATAGTGCAGTTATTTAGGCCGTATCCAAAGCTGATACGGGACTTTTTTCCTGGGAAAATATATTAGCTTCGTCTTATTTGTGTCCAAAAACAAGTTGTTTTTGCAGCGGTCTGTCCGGGCTGTAAAATTTTGCTGCGTTTGGTTGCATGCCTGAAAACCACCAATAGCCCGAATGAGCTTAACATCATCTGCGAATTGTAAGATCTCCAGTGATGACTGCATGCCCTAACATCGTCCACGAATATGTTGAAAAGCAGAGGCGCTAGGTTAGAACTCTAAGGGACGTCGGATGTAGAGCAGTACATGCGTTGACTTGGCATCACCGTATGTAACAGAATGCCATTGAACGTGTTCAGATAGTTCTCAAACCAATTACAAATCGGGGGAGAAACACCATAAAATTAAGTATATGTATATATTTTGTTTTCTTAATTTAGCGTAGAGTGTTTGATGAGGTCAAACATCTTATTTAAAGTGAAGTTGAAGCGGTTCTGTATTTTAGCGAAAAAACACATAAATAGTCTCTCTTCAGCCTCTAGGATTACGAATATCAAAATTATATTTCAGACTGATGCGCCAAGTACCTAAATGAGCGCCTTTCAAATAGACCATTTACTATATTACCCAAACATCAAGAAGACTGCAGGGATCGGTGTTCCACGCGCCACACGCACACGCCTTCCCCGTATAAAAGATTCGAAGTAAATAACCGAAATAAAGCGTTGACGAACGCGCGTGTATAGATGCCATTTGTTTTAGGTATTTGCTTTAGAAAAGTTACTACTGCTGAGGCCAGCACGTGCGGCGCGTGGAACACCGATCCCTGCATTCTCCTTGATGCTTGGGTAATATAGGCAATAGGTCTATTCGCGTCTCCAGCTTGACGGTCGCCCTCCCGCGGCGGAAACGGGAAGCACTCTAGTGAGGGTCCCCCGATTCTCCTGCTCAGCGGGCACGGCGGAACTGCTCGCGATCATGGCTTGCGAAATGTCATTTCCGAATGCAAACAACACTCTTCACTGTCCCAACGTAGTGCTGCAGCCGGTATAGGATTGTACCTTACTGGAGAGGTTTAGTATTGCGCATAGAATGCGCATAGAAGCAAACGCAAGCGGTGTGCGTTTGCGTTACAGTTGCCTGCCCCACGTTGTGCGTGCGCCTCATCGCCATGCGCCATCCAAGACCGCAATTTTGGGTTCCGCGCATGCGCAGTGTGGAATACGCAAAGCTAACGCAAACAAACACACAGCGCTTGCGTTCGCTCGTATACGCAATATTAAAACTCACTACTGCTTTACCGGCTTCCAACGCCAACGAAACGTACTGCGGTGAGCAGACGTGCAAGCAGGTAGCCGTTTCTTCGAACTGAAAAGGCTGAGAATGGAAAAACGACGGAGTGTAAAAATGAAAGTAACTAAATTTAATAAAAAAATTAACGAATATATATATATATTTTTTTTTTTTTACTTTTGGGTGTTTAGTTTGGAAGGATATTGGCGGCGACTTTGGACGTTTTGCCGAATGTCGAAGGTCGCGACTTTGATAGCAAGGTATACTTTACCCACAATTAATTTAATTTTACATGGATTTCTTACATTAGCTAGAATGTTTTCATTGATTTTAGACTAGTTTTATTTTTTTACTTGATAATTCAAAATGCTGCAATTCGCACCAGTGATGATAATTTGCACACTTTTGAATGTCCTATTCGTTCGCGCGCTTGAAATGAGATCATAAGCAACAAATTATATTAGAGCTTGAAAAATTACGTATTAAAATATCTGAATTTTAATATTATTATTAATAATACAAATCTCGGCAATGTATGCCCCCAATTAACGCCAAGATCACGAAAATTCGCCATTTAACCATAATAGTCTTTCTAGAAAGGTATAATTTTGTTTTCTTTTTAGCATATGAGAAACTCTGACATCTTTATCAAGATAGACAAACAGTAAAGCACTGGATGTAATATAAAACGTTCCCATAACTCGGCATCCAAATATCCAGAGTCAAAGGGCTAAAACAGCGTGCCTAGCTTCTCGTAGTCCACTGCAAGTTGCAATAAGGTACTACAGTTGTACACCTATAGTAGCGTTCTAGTTGAACATATTTCTAATACCATTCTTGTCTTAGTCGCAGCAAACAGTTATCGTAAAAATGTCATGAACAGTTATACTCCCAGTGTTTTCCTTAAAATTGTGCAATTCCTGATGATAACGTCGTATACAGTGTTTGAAAGTCGGTAGGCTCTGTCGTCCTATTCGTCTGTTTCACTGTGGTACAACAGTGTGATTCTATAGTCACTTATGTCGACACCTCATACCTGTTCACTGCTGAACAAAAGCATCCAAAATAAAATCTGCCATGGGCAAGACTTGTCTATTTCTTCAGTCACAAAACTGTGAATTTTAGCAACAACAAATAAGTCGCGTCTGTCTGAAGGGCAAAGTAGAAGTCGCTCGAAGTGCCTGCCTTCAGCTACAGTGCCGACCATTAAACGCTTTTCAATGCTTGTACAAGAAGCATCGAAGAAGCCCGCACAGTTGCAGAACTCAAGCCGTTTCTCAAAGTCCGCTTCAGTGAGGTCCTAGTGGAGACACGTGTGGCACTAATGCAGGTTATGCGCCCGTAGCACATTCCAGATGGAAATGACGCTGCAGCCACGCGCAATCTCTCGGGGGATGACGTGTATGTGGCAAGGACGTCAATTTCATAAGTTTCACTTACGACAACGGCCTTTATGCGCCTTCTGTAATGTAAAATACCTGTCTTCTGAAACTTTGTGAAGAACCCCATGTTGGACTGCACTGACTAAATTTCTCATCTACAACTGAGACATCAGATGCCCACTGGGGCTAAGACTCGGCTGTATAAACATACACACAACACAATAACTGTTAGAAACCTTCAAGTGGTACTTGTATAAACATTCAAGAGAAGCAATAAACAATACCTAGAGGCCAAGTGAATTGTTCCTTTATTTTCGTACACATTTCTAATTTTAAATATGTTTACGTGTCATCAGAAAGGTGGTACTATTCGTCATAATCAATGGTGAAGGACTCCTCGCTTCTAAATAAAAGTTACTGTATTCATTCATCAGCTATAAATCGGACCTCCGCGTTAAAAACAAATCGTTGCCAGTTTTTTTTTTTTTTTTTTTGATAAATTAGGTTTTGGTAAACGTTATATTCCACCATTTTGACTTTCGTTTTCGTGGTTACAGTTGCAGTTTTCCGGCGGACTGGCGTGAGCCCGACCTGAGGGAGCTGGTGGCGGCGAGCAGCTTCGCGGCCATGAAGGCCCAGTCCCCGGACAAGTGGTCCAGCACACGGCCCGAGGGCGCTCCTGCCTTCATCCGCAAGGGCCAGGTCGGGGACTGGAGGAACTACCTCACGCCGCAACAGAACGAACGGCTCGAGCGGAAGTTCCACCAGAGGCTCGCCGGCACGGGAGCAGAACACCTCTGGCCCACCGAAATCGGACTGCCATAAGGGCTGGAGCCAGCATATGGACCTGCGAATAGGGCTGAAGTCAAAGTGACCAGGATAAACGGTCGTAGTTACCAATTGTAGCGTGAAATGTTTTAAAGCATGAAATGCTTTTTAGCGGAACCTTCTTAGCGGGAAAAATTACGTCACGTGATTTCATGGGACGTCGCGTTACATGATACTATGACATCAGGTCACGTAGCCACGTCACGTGATTTCAAGCAACGGTACTAGCAACATATACTGGGGAGGGATCAGTTTCAGATAAAAAGGAGGCGCTCGTTTAACCGAATTACACTCGTTACATCTCAGCGCAACAGAGACATTCTTTTTTCAAGAAAGCGGTATATTGAAATCTGCTTTAAAAACCGGGAAAGATATCATTGTACGTCCCGTTGATTTCAGACAAACTGCGCGTCTAATCAATTTGATGAAAGAAAAAAAAAGAACACCGGAAAACACATGCGGAAAAGTGACTCTTGAATGATTCAACAGCGTCAGCTAAAAATAATAAATGTCAATGCAAGAAGCTTGGCGAACAAAGTTGGGGATTTGGAGCGTATACTGCTTGCTCATCCTCCTGATGTGGTGGTTGTAACAGAGACATGGTTGCATCTTAATATAGCTAATTCAGAGCTATGTTTGCCTGAATATAAAGCGCCGTTCGCATATATGCGACCGAGTAAGACCGAGAGGGGCCAGACCGGTTTCTAAGCCTTTTGCGACGTCTTGGGACCGGAAGCGCTGCAGTGGAGCTGGTCCTAAAAAGTCGCAAGAGGCTTAAAAATCGGTCTGGTCTCTCTCGGTCTTTAGAAAAGACAGGGCTTCTAGGGGAGGGGGCGTAGCTATATTTCATAAAACGTCCTTGCAGTGTATTCCTCTATCTACACCAATTGATCATGAAGTATTGCTGTGTAAACTCGGGTACGACAAGGTGTCATTCATGGTATGGGCTATTTATAGACCGCCAAATACAGCTATTAGTATGATTAGCGATCTCAATGATTACTTAATTCAGCACGTTAAACCCTCAACTAATTTCCTCCTACTGGGAGACTTTAATCTACCGTACATTGAATGGAGTACACTTACTGTGTCCAATAAAGACCGTGCGAGTGGAGAGGTCCTGATTGATTTAACGTTCTCACTCAATTTAGTTCAAATAGTAAATTCCCCTACTAGGGGTAAATCACTGCTAGATTTTTTTTTTTTTTTTTTTTTAAATGGTCGCTTGCTTAGTAAAAAATACAGCAGCGAAGTTTGCGAAGGTATTGCTGATCATGGGGGGAATATGGTGCTTGTATCAATATTTTTAGATCAAAGATTGCGATCTTTACCTGTTCTGTTAACAGTTCCAGTTTTCAACAATGCTGGCGACCTTTGTATCGTCGATTTTTTAGAATTGTCTTTTGATAAGTTTGAAGAAATGTCTTTTGAATGTGGTTCTAACATTGAAGCGTTGTGGTACTACTTTAAGAATATTGTAAACAAGTTTATATTGAAATACGTACCCCATCGAAAGAAAAAAACTAATGTTCATTATCCATGGATTAACAAAGATACCTTGCATTTGAAACGTAGAATTGCCGGAGTGAGAAAGAATTCTAAATCTAATAGGACAGAAACATGTCGCCAGCTTCTTTTTCAACTAAATGCACGACTTAAACTTGAAATCTCAGAAGCAAAGAAAAAAATATTTTAATACTTCGCTCCGCCCTTTCATGAGAAGTGCGCCACAAAAGTTCTGGCGTTATATCTCACCTAAAGATAAATCCTCTGTCCAAAGTAATATTACCGCGACTGAGTTCAATTTTTTTTTTAAATCGGTATTTACTACTGACGACGGAGTTATCACAAGCCTCGAAGTTAACGATGCGGACGTAATTAGTGACATTTTCAGGAGGGAATTTTTAACTTAATTTTAAATAAATTAGACGCTAAGAAAAGTACTGGCCCGGATATGATACCAAACACTTTTTTGAAAAGGTACGCAGAATGGATGTCCATATTTTTACATGTTCTGTTTTGTTTTTCTCTTGAGCATGCAGTATTACCAAATGACTGGAAGACAGCAAAAATAATTCCGATACATGAAGAGGGTGACTGGAGTACAGCATCAAACTAGCACCACGTGCAAATTGCTAGAGCATATTATTTTTACACATATTTTATGTCACTTAGATAAGCATAACTTAATATATAAAAATCAGCATGGGTTTAGAAAATCACTTTCGACTACAACTCAGCTCATAGAATTTACGCATGGCTTGGCTGAATCCATTAACGAGAGGGGCCAGACTGATGTAATATACTTGGATTTTTCTAAGGCGTTTGACACAGTGTCTCATCCAAAGACTGGCAAAACTTTCCAACGTACTCAAAAACTCAAAGCTATAAATTGGATAACCGTGTGTTTATCAAACCGAAGCTATCACTATAAGAAAGTTGATTCGGAAAATCTGCTCGTTACTTCAGGAGTGCCCCAGGGTTCCGTACTTGGGCCACTTTTGTTTTTGATTTACATTAATGACATTTCAACCAATATTGATGTCCCGATTAGATTGTTTGCTGACGACTGTATTATATATAAAACAATAAAAAGCCATGCCGACACTCTTACACTGCAGGAAGCTTTGGATGAGATACTGTGTTGGACTAAAAAATGGCAAATGAAGCTAAATTATTTGAAAACAGCCGTCATCACAGTCTCATGTAAAAAAAGCCACTTTAATTTCATTACTTACTTGATGGACAACCAGTGAAGCGGGTCGAGGAGTACAAGTATTTAAGACTTCTTTTTAACAATAAACTGAACTGGAACCAGCACTTGGAATTACGGTTAACAAAGCGAGGGGCACTTTGTTTGCGTGCAGTAGGAAATTAAAATTTGCCGATTTCGGCTCTAAACTTATTTTGTATAAAAGTTTTATTGGGTTTGTGCTAGAATATGCTAGTTCAGTGTGATGCTCTTTCACACAAAACGGTATTTATAAGCTTGAAAGTATCCAGAAGTCAGCTGCTCGGTTTATTTTTCATGATTATCGTAGAGAAACATCGTTCACTGAATTAGTTATTAGAGCGAAGCTTCAACCGTTGCAAATAAGAGCGAAAATTGATAGATTAAAATTCCTGTTCCATATCCTTAACGGCACTCTCCATGTTCAAAGCTCCAACTATATACAACCATTATCGACCGGGTTCTCATGTCTAAACCACACGAGAGCGTTAAAACAATACAGGTTCGAAAACGACTGTTTTAGACATTATTTTTTTCCCTCGGGCAATTCAAGAATGGAACGAATTACCAAATGATGTCGTCGTCAACACAACTGTTGCTAATTTTGTATCTGCTCTTGAATTTATACTTAATTGAGTTTTCATTTATAAATCTCCGTCTTGTTTACATGTTTATACCCACTCCTACCATGGCTCCTTGAGTGGAGCCAGTAGTATTTCTAAATAAATGAATAAAGAAAGAAAGATAAATGGCGAGTACCAACTAGTTTCAATAAAGTTTCTGACCCAAGGATATCTTCTTATTTATTTATTTATTATTATTTTTTATTATTTTTTCTGAGACAGCTTGAAGCACTGTGCTCACTATTCCCTCGCACATCGCTTTCTTGAACAGAGGGTAAGAGGGGTCCGGGTTCTTTGGTCTCGTCCTTCGCTTGGAAATTCAAATTACATCTTCTCTTTTCCGATATCTTTGTTTAATTTTACCCATCGTTTTCGTTCTGTCGTTTATCGCATCTTTCTCAAGTGTTCCTGGGACGCCGTCTCGCCGTGACTGCTATCGGCAGGGCTTTCACGGCTTCGGCCCTTTCGCCCAAGTGGAATCTCGTGCAAGGGTCTCTCCCGCAGTTCACTTCTGATCAGAGCCTGCTCGCTAAAAACCGTGTCTTAAAAAAAAAAAAAAAAGCTGGGTAAAAGAAGCATTGTTAGTGCACCAGCTGAGCTGCACTTGAATTACAGTACATTTCAATACTGGGTAATGTTGGGACCTGAGCGGCTCGCGTGAGGCACGTGTGATAGTCTGCGACAGGTGTCGACACTTTGTTACAAATATACGTGACGCTGTAGCAAAATATTGTTCATTTAAACTTACCGTCACAACTGAAACTGACATGACGTGCAATACGGGAATTAAACTACAGTTTTAGCTCCTGTAAGTCTTGGTACGGGCCTCCAATTCTTCCAGGCTAACGATGTCAAGGGCTCTTTGAAGAAACAAGTCCTCCTGCTTCCAATCTGTCTGTGCGATCGTTCAATCGATGCATCCCAGTCAAATGACCTATGTGACGAGATAGTTCTTCTCTATAGTCTAACTTTGATCCGCAGCAGTCCGTACTCTAGTACAGAGCGCGTTTCAAACGCTGAGACCAACAGAACGGCAAAACGGTTAAGGATGACGGTGCGGCACTAAAGGCATTCTCACAACCTACCACTATTTCGGGACGCCATTTCGTTTGCGGCCCTACGTAGCGAGCGAGTTCAGCAACGGCTCTTCGCAGAGAAAAAACATGTCCTTTCAGAAGGTCTACGACTTCACCCTGCGAGCAGAGAACGTCGCGGAACACCACGGTGAGAACTGATATCAAGGAGATGCGCAAGGCACGTACAAGTGGCTACCAATCCGAACACGGATTCAAGATTGCTCTAACAACCGGTCGAGGATTATCTCTGATTCTCTCACAATGGCTATGTATCAATTGACTACCAAACACAGATACAAGATTGCTCCAACAACCAGTTGAGGATTATCTCAACAACCAGTTGAGGATTAGCTGCGGGCGGAAGCAGGAATTTCTTTATATCCTACATGACATAGCATGAAGTTTCTGGATGTCGGGAAGCAACAGCATAGCCTCAGCCTTGAAATATTAACTCTAATTGGATTACACGCAATTTGGAGTTCTCGCAGGGATCACACTCTGGTAAGAGAAGGTGGTCAACCCGCATGGAGGTATTTGATATAAGGAATTAACTATGTCACCTCTTTAGTTAAGGAGATAGAGTTCCCTGAGAGCGACTTTTGGGAAACTCTTAAATCCCGATTAAAAATAACGAGATAAGCACATGACAAGTCACTGAAAACAAGTGCTGTGTTACTATTGTCGGTTGTTATTATTCTTTGGCCCACCATGCAAGTGTATGTGACTGTGAATGTATTCGGAACTGTTACACCTCATGGGGCAGTCGCAAGCCGCCGACTCACCCATTTTCGTTTACTTTGTAAATAAATAAATCTTATCCAATAAAAAGCAAAAAAAGAAAAAAGGCACGGCCACTTAATCCCCCCAATTTTAATCAAGCGGCCGTGACCCAGGGATCCTGGGTTCGAGCCCCACCCCTGCCCGTTTCGATCTGGATGAGCATCGTACCGGCAGTGACCGCATGGTCGTGTATCGGTTGTACCGCACTGGCTAAATTGCCCATCTACAGCTGAGACACCACACTGGAAGCGGATCCGCGTTCGCAAAGCGGTCGCAAAGCGGTTGCGAACGCGGATCCGCTTCCAGTGTGAATGAGCGGTAACTTCGGATGTATAAACATCCACACAACAATTTGCTTTGTCCCTTCCTTTTCCCTTGTCTCGTTTCTTTTTTTTTTTTTTTTTTCAAAGTATGCATGCCTGTGTTGCTGCTCCGGTAGTCACTGATTTTGTAAGATCTTCGGATCTTTTATGATTCCGAAGGACTAAGGTCAACATATGACGATCGTTATTTTTCACATGGCAACGCCGACGCATATCTGTGAGACAATAAAACTGGAAAAGCAGCGAAACGAGAACCGGAACTGTGGCGGAATACGCCGAATCGACGGCGGCTCCGGAGAGCTTCCGACCACCGATCGCCCGCAGCGTGAACCGTGTAAACGTCGGTGGTCGCTTGTCGCGATGTCACGCTTTCGCGATGTCACGAAAGCGACTATATTTATAGTCGCTTTTGCGATGTCACGTGGTATTACTCACTGACGTAGGAGACAGGTTACTCGGATAAGATTTGAAAGATGGATAGGGATCTGTGCGCCGGAGTAACTCGGTTTTATTTGGGTAAGATTTCGAACACAGCCAACGCGTCTTTCTTTCAGAACGGACGTTCGTCTGCTACTTTCCTCCCCGTGTAGCTGCGTCATTTTCGCTTTGCCACAGGCCAAGACAAAGCCAAGCCAGAAGTAGCCAGGCAGAGATTCCTTATCCCTAGTAGGGGTGTCGCGAACTTTTGTCGAACCGGATTTTTAGGTCGAACTTTCGGGGTTCGACTGGGTCGAACCGGTTCGACGAACCTTCGAAACTTTTCACCAGATTCGACCGGTTCGACTTTGCGGACAGTGTGGCCAGACCTTGATAGATGCATGTCTAGGTTTGGAGAATTTATTTTTATGCAAATGGTTGTTTTCTTTTATGAACAGTTGGAATTAAAAGAAACCACTTCTATTCACTAAAGACGTTAATAACTTTTTTTTTTTGTACTGTATTAACTGAAATAACCAACCAGCGGTGCCCTTAATTCATCCATTAGCCATTACCATCCAATCCGAAGCCAACTGGCCAGCCTGTCGCGCATGCGCACACGAGTCGAACCTTAATACAAGGTTCGTCGAAATTTCCACGAAAAGTTCGAAAAAGTCGAACCAGGTCGAACTCGAACCTCGGCCGGTTCGCGACACCCCTATTCGTGAGGTCGTCAAGGTTGTGCAAACTTCCGACTACTGTTTCGACGTTCTGAGTAAGTTGAAGCACGTTTACGAAATATCCTCGTTTGCCTTGCGTGGAAAGCTAAGCGTTTGACCGGCCGGGATAGACAGGTTACATAGAAGTAACTTGCGAGCTCCGCAACAGCCCACTCTTTGTTCTCTATTCTTCTTTTTTTTTTTTTTCTCTTTTTTTTTTTTTTACGGCAACAACAAAAAGAGAAGTTCCGAGACGTCGCCACCAGGGTTGCCAGGTTGGGCTATAAATAGCCAAATTGGGCAAGTTTTATATGCAGTTGGCGGGAAAAAATGGTAGTTGGCTATTTGGCTAGTATTGGGCTATTTCTAACCTGTGCATTGGGCTATTTCTGACCTGTGCACTGAGCAATTTCAGACCTGTGCTGGAACCAAAATGCCTGAAAGCACTTGGGTTTATAGGTTCGAATGTATTTTTAAAGTAAGTTACGTGAACAAAAGGTAAGGGCGCAAACGAGCTGGTGGTGGTTAAACATTTCGACACGTTTGGCAGTTTCGACAGTTACGTGAACATTTGGCGCTTCAGTACGTTAGCCATGATAAGTTTGCGACAGCAAACTAATTCGTCTTCTTTTTGCGCGCTTTGTGCAATTGTTTACCTCCGAATGCAAGCATGTGCTGTTATTCCTCCATCTCAACAAGTGACGGCGTGATTCCTTGCGGTCTTAACTAGGGGTGTTTCGAACTGGCCGAGGATCGAGGTCGACCAGGTTCGACTTTATCGAACTTTTAGTGGAAATTTTGACGAACCTTGTATTGAGGTTCGACTCGTGTGCGCATGCGCGACAGGCTGTCCAGTTGGCTTCGGATTGGATGGTGATGGCTAAGGCATGAACTAAGGGCACCGCTGACTGGCTATTTCAGTTAAAGGACACATGCAAAGGAAAAAAAACATTTTTTTTAGACAGCTTAGATGGAAAAAGGATGTCATAAAACGATTTTACAACGAAGAAAAAAAAATTTCAGAGCTATATTTACGGCGTTATACGAATTTGTAGTTGGCTCTCGCGGGAGCCGCCGCTGGTCACGTGGTAGGCCCGCGCGCCGCCGCGCTGCGTCGCCGCCGCACGCTGAGCGTTCTGCGAACGCCGCTTCAACGCGTTTCTCCACGCCGCCGTCGCCGCCGCCGCACAAGTTCGTCTGCTTCGGGGCGCCGCCGCCGTCGTCTGGCCGGCGCACAGGTCTATCACGTCTGCTTGCGCTTTTTCAGGAGTTTCCTTTGGGCTTTAAAAGATACTTATTCATCTTAGTTTTTTGTTATACTTCAAACAAAGATGAATAAGTTACTTTTAGAGGCCATAGGAAGCTTCCGAAAGAACGCAAGCACCACGTGATAAATAAAGACCAGTCACGTGATAAATACAAACCACTTTTCCGCGGTGCCCGCGGGCGCCAACTACAAATTCGTTTTGCGCCGTAAATATAGCTCTAAAAAATTTTTTTCTTCGTTGTAAAATCGTTTTATGGTTTCCTTTTTCCATCTAAGCCGTTTAAAAAAATTTTTTTCCTTTGCATGTGTCCTTTAATACAGTACAAAAAAAAATAAGTTATTCACTTCTACAGTGATTAGAATTGGTTTCTTTTAATTTCAATTGTTCCAAAAAATAAAATAACCCTTTGCATAAAAAAAAATTCTCCAAACCTAGACATGCTTGTATCAAGGTCTGGCTACACTGTCCACAAAGTCGAACCGGTCGAATCTGGTGAAAAGTTCGAAGATTCGTCGAACCGGTTCGACCCAGTCAAACCCTGAAAGTTCAACCTAAAAATCCGGTTCGACAAAAGTTCGCGACACCCCTAATCTTAACAGCACCTGTTCTGCGCATTCTTTAGGTTGTCTCTCCCGTGACATCATTCTGGTCACCAAGCGTCCCAATCAAGGTATGTTGTCATGCGCTTGTACGAGCGTTCCAGGAAGTTCGCCGAACGTGCAAGGGACGCCATTTCTGGGGCATTTGATGGATAAAAATGTATTGTGTCTTTTCTTTTCAAAATAAACGTTTCAAATGGTGAGTTTTTTTGGGGGGCTATTTTTCTGGATCGACATTTGGCTATTTTTGGGCTATATCTCGTAGACGTTTGGCGGGTTGGAGTTCAAACACCTGGCAACCCTGGTCGCCACGTCGCGTTTTTCTTAAAAGAGATTTGCTTGGTGTCGCCTCGTTCACCTCAAAACGAAGTCAAAGGCATTAAGGTACGGAAACCGAATTTGGAGCTCATTTCCTTGCTTAAACATGACGCGGGTTAAAGTAGAGGGTGAGACTATTTTGCCGGGCTGGCAGCCGGCAGAATAGCCCGGGGAAAAAAAACGCCGGCAGTTTCGGACGGCGCGTGTATCACTGGGGGCCCCACTGGGGAGCTCGTTAACACTAAAGCCCCTTGATAAAAGTGTTTTTTTACAAGTACCGCCAATCATTGTTGTGGAAGCGCGCGAGACAGGTGCCATGAGCGGGTGCTCCGCCGCCATTCGCTTCCAAGGCCCGCTCATTTCAGTGCTGCGCCGCCATTTGCTTCCAAGGGCCGCTCGAGACATGGTCCTCGTGCACTCGCGCTTTTGACGCTACTTGCTAGACAAACACAAACACATCGAGGGGCTTTAGTTAACACATCCCCCCTCCCCCCCCCCCGCCCCCCCGCCCGCCCGCCCGCCTGCCCGCCTGCGTTCACGCCGCTTCGCAGCGTTAGTCTGCGGCTGCTCATTAGAAAAATATTGACCCAATTGGCCTACCACTGCACGCCGCTTTGCGGCGGCCCACCGGCGGCCCGAGCCCCGCTGTCCACCATTCGCTATGGACTCCCGGAAAGGGAGTCCATAGCAAAGTTTCGTCGACAACATTCGTTTTATTTATTTACTATTTTTTTTTCAGTGTTAATCCTAAAACAGACGATATGTCGTAAATATCGCCAAATGCCTTTACAAAACCAAAACAAACTTTCAACAAAAAGAAAGAAAAAAAAAAAAAAAGACAGGGTGGATCGAACCAGGGTCCTGCTGCGTACGAAGACAGCACCTTATCACTAAGCTACTCTGCATCTTTTTTTTTTTTTTTTCTTTATTGCTGAGCTACTCTGCATCTTCACACAGCCGTGCTCACAATTCGTTTTATACATGACCCAATGGGGCACAACTGCCAGCATGTTTTTTCCCCGGGCTATTGTGCCGGCCTGCCGGCAGAATATCCACTTCCTAAAGTAGAACTTTACCAAGACCAATATTTCTTAAAATAATGCAAACAAACAAATGTGTTTTCATTTGTGTAAAACGATAACCAAAAACCACCTCGTGGATGTCTGTGAAGCTTCGATGGAATGTCGTGACGACAATATGTTAGTAAAGGCTTTTTCACTCAAGGCATCTTTTCAGCAGCGGTTTAGCGAAACCGATATTTCGGGAAATCGACCTAATCCCACGTGGAGTTTGACGCGCGAAACTTGACGTATGTATCGGCCATGGCCTAACACGACCAAGCAGCACGGGGGGCTGGCTTCACGTGCGAATAAAGAAGGGCACGGGCTGTTCCAAGCGACGGCAGCAGCCATGGCCACACCGATTTGCTTCTCTGTCCTTTTTATCTAAACGATACATTATTTGCACGTGAAGTCAGCCCCCCGTGCTGCTTGGTCGTGTTAGGCCAATGGCCGCATACTCTTCTTCCAGACTTCACAGCCCGGCCCGCTCGCGCCGTGCGCAAGCATGCTCAGAACTTGCATCAGGGATACCAACTACTTCCACTGGAAGATGGTGATTGCGTTAAAGTCAGAGACCCCAAATCATGGGACACGAAAGCGCGGGTGGTGGGCAGCGGAGGGCCAAGATCCTACCGAGTTTACACAGAAAGGGGACGAGAAATGCGCCAGAATCGTCGACATCTTTTAAAAATTAACAAAAGGCCTCTTTTTCAGATGAAAGTGGTTCTGACGGGTACGAGACTGCAGACGAAACTCTGCCACCACAGATGACTCCTCCAGGAAGCGGCCTTGGTAGCACCAGCAGTTAGCATCCGGAAACCCCACCATCGCCGCCGCCGCCCCGAAGATCATCCCGACGAGTGTCTCCTCCGCATCGCCTAACCTATGACGAGAACTTTGAGCAAGAGGGATAGTTTTCTTTTGTGTGTGTTGTGTGTGTGTAATGTGTGTGTGTGTGTGTGTGTAATGTGTGTGTTGTGTGTGTCAAAGTTTTATTTCATTTTTTTTTTTGTAAAGAAAGGAAGGTGTATCGGCCATTGGCCTAACATGACCAAGCAGCACGGGGGGCTGGCTTCACGTGCGAATAAAAAAGGGCACGCGCTGTTCCAACCGACTGATGCGATACGATTTCACATTACAGTTTGTCCCGGCAAGCAACTTGTACTGGCAGATGCGCTGTCCCGCCTAAACACGTGAAGCCAGCCCCCCATGCTGCTTGGTCGTGTTAGGCCAATAGCCGATACAACGTATGGGTCGCGTGAAGTTCGCGCTCCTTTACTCCTACTCCGACGCTCCGAGTTTCATACTCCGAGCGCAGCAACTAAACGACGCATAGCGTACAGGAGCGCGACAGACCGAGGCTGCGTTCGAAATCTATTCGAATGGATCCGAGTTACCCTGCGGATATGTCACGTGACAACACAAATAGATGAACGCTGGACGCGGGTAGGTTTTCGCACGCTAAGGTACAGAGCCTTTAACCTAGACTGAGATAGAGTAAATTTTAGAACACGGCCCGAAACGATCGTCGGTTATGACAAACCCGGCTTCTGGATACAGGTGGCAGAAGCCGTAATTATTTCGAAGGTTAATTATGCCCGTGTGGAGCGGCAGTCTAAAGCAGACGAGACGGCAACGTTATGAAGTTTCTACAAATGTTTTAATATTCGTGAAAGGTTTGAAGACTCACTTCGTGCACATATGTGGATTGTTACCTTGGTCAATCTATTTATTGGCCATGCATGCTGTTCCCATTTAAATTAAAGACAACATTCTTGAACCCGGTCGTTGACGCAGGAAACCCTGAAATTTGCCAGAGATTTCCTGGTTCCTTCTTGCAGTGCGAGGCGGAATCAGGGAATCTGAGCTACGCCGACACTGGCGCACCATCGTTCGAAAGCACGTGGATTCGTTTTTAGGTGGTATGCATGAACAAACCTTTTCCGTGACACTTAACTGATATGTTTCGGCTTTCCAATCAAAGTATCTTGATTCGCTGGGCTAGGCAGGCAGCATTCCGACTGTATTCTCATCACAACGTTTCTGTTGCCGAGCTATCGACACGCTCGTTTGATAGATCAATTCATTTTCAGGCAAGACGCACAAACAAACCTTTTTCTCAATGCTTGCTGATGTTTTGGCTTTCAAATCGGAGCATCTTGATTCGCTGGGCTAAGCATTATAAAAGGGGCAGAGCAGTCCGAATGTCTCCTCATCTCGACAACTTTTCTGTCGCTGTGCTATGGACATGCTATTGTTTGATAGATGACCTCGTTTTCAGGCGAGATGCACAAACAAACCTTTTTCGGAACGCTAGTTGCTGTCTTGGCTTTCAAATCAAATCGTTTTTACCTGTTGGCGCCGCGACTGTTGATGAATCTGCACCGCGCCACCAACCCGCACTGCCAACACGTATCGCAGATGCGCAACCTGTACGCACCACTTTTCCGCTTGTCGCTCGCCGCCGTGTTTGCTTTTCTTTTCGGCTTTGGCTCGGTTATGGAATTGTCCAAAAACAGACTCCTCCAAAAGCTCACTCCTCCAAAAGCTCACTCCGCCTCGAAGGTCAGGCGTCGTAGCGAAGTCGAGCGGCCATTGGCAGCGTTTGTGTTTCTCCTTCAGGTGATTGACAGGCCTCGGTGAGGTTTCAGCAAAATATTGCTCCTGAAGCGAAGAGCACGCGCAGTGTTTATTGGAGGCTACCACTTTTACGGTCGCGCTCACACGGGTCATCTGTTTCCCGAAACCTAGTTTCACGACATAAGATTCGCCAACAAGATGCATCGTGTGAATAGACCCTCTGAACAGACCTTAAGAGCAGCGCCTCAACGGGAAGTACGGAAGTGTGCAAAAAGTGGATTCACTTAGCGTGACTGCACCGACATGACGCTCATAGGAGTCCCTACCATTGCAAAGCTCAAACATTTTCTCTCATTTGGGTTTTGTGGGTCGCTGTCGAAATGACCATCACGAAGCTTCGCCGTCCACTCTTTCGGTGGTGGCATAGTTTTGTCCATGAGGACTCCTAAACTGGTTGAGAAGGTCTATGTAGAAGCTATATAATTAGACATTATGTGAAGCGAAACAATGAAGGAAATAAGGCGTGCAGTGATCAGACTGCAGGAATCGCACGGCTGAGCGAAACTGGCCATAGAGAAAATTTGGCAGGCTCCCCTCTCGGTACGGCATGATGGTAATGGGGGGCAAAGCACCCTAGTGTGACAAGATGAGCGAGCCATGTATATCCTTTGTCATGCGAGTCACTTATCACTTTATTTGAAAGTGGTCCAAGAATGAACACTGACTCTGCTACTCGTTCAGTTTCAAACATCGAACACTCGCTGATGGCGACAATCGGACGATGGTTATGAGTTACTCTATGAGAGTAGGTCTGGAGGTAAACAACCCAGGGGACCCCAGAGACCCTAGAAAACTTGTAGTTAAAATATTTGCCCAATTTCGGAAATCCGTTTCCGAGCCATCGTTCTTGGAACTGTCAAAGAATAAAGTCTTCTGTGAGTGCAGCGGTAAATCAGCTCTGTGGTCATTTAATTAAAAATTTGTGGGAAGACCAGAGTTGCCAATTTCCTCTGTCATTGTCTGCCTCCTCTATTTGTTTCAGGACACCAAGGCGTGCCACAGGCCAATGCCCAATTGACTTGCCAAGTGCGTACCGACGGTGCCTATTGGGGACTTTTATGCGTAAACATTCAGCCTTTGTTTGTCACTCGTGCAGGTTGATTCTTGCACGACGCTTGTCCCCACTAAAAAAAGATGTGAGACCTGGATGGTGGAAATTACCGCCTGATAAAGTGGTGTTATCTATCCAGTGTCATGATTTTGTGGGTGCATGCAAATGTCCTATACTTAAAACCCAGAGAAGGAAATTACCTATTTATTTTAAGCTACTCAAATGAAGCATCTTATGATCAGAGTTCAGCCCGAATGCATGTGCCGTGGCAGCTGATAATGTTGCATACAGTTGGTCCCGACTTGCCGTTCTCATGACATTCTTCCCTGGCAGAGATGGCTTCGCTTGTTTCTCTAATTCAGCTATTATCAAGTGCAAGGTCAGATCTTGCACACAGGCATTGTGTGTGGAATTTTCGTTCGTCACAATTTTCAGGTCTTTATTTTTTAGTGAAAACTGTACATAGCAAACTAGGTTATGTGCTGGTCTTATTTCTTTGTTGTCTTTATGAACCCCTCGCGTAAACAATCGTGTCCCTAAGATGTTCTGTGCACAATACCCATGCCTATTTGAGAATAGATCTATGTTGCCACCAATGCTGTCAAAGGTGTTTTTGGTATTGAGCACACTTTTGACAGTGCTTGGACTACTGAATTGTACTAGTCTTTTTCTGTTCCTTTTTATTTTTTAGTGTTTCTGCCAGTATTCCATCGAGAGTGTCGAACCGAACCGAAATCCGGATCAAAACTTGCTGTTGACTGAACTGGAGCAAAACTGAAATTGATCATTTGCTTTTTAACCCAAACAAAAAAAAACACAATCCTATGAATAGCTACCAATTCACTGGAGAATAGTTTGGTTGTACTCAAATGAGAGTCACTCCTGATTTTGCGTGTGGCAGTGCAAGGTCCATTTAGCAATCATGGCTGTGGCGTCAGCTGGTTAGTGTTGCCGAAGTAAATGGCGGCGGCGTGAAGACAGCTCAATCATAGTGAAGGAAATTTGTAAATTGTATGTCTGTGCAGCTTAACTTGGCATCTGCGAGGATGCTTATGTTCCTAGCTGACTAACCCAAGGGTCTAAGAGGTATTCTTAGTTTGCTTGTTTTGTAGGCATTGTTGCTACTAAGCTATATTTTAAGAGGAAAAACAAACAAACATAAGCTAAATAAAAGAAGTTGCCCCTCACACGTGTCTCCTACATCAATGTCACTGAAAACAAAGGACCCATTGCAAACATTGTACAGCAAACTGGGTAATTGCAAATCTTCAACATGCCTTTCCACAAGGCAGCCTCTACTGTTGTTGATTGCTTCACACACTGCGTAATCGTTTGCAATTTAAAATTTTTTCTTTTTTACAATTTTTGAAGTGCAGCATGCTGGTATTTTTTAATTTTTTTTAGGAATTTTTTTTAACTGGTTTTCGCTGCCTTTCTAGTTTTAAACACAGTCTGTCATTTCAGGTGGATAGTTTGTGAGTATGTTGGCTGACTGAACTCGCACTGTTTAAACGTCTAGCGACTAATTTGTTATGTGATTATGGTGTACTGTGCACTTCACATGTTGGTTAATTGACCTCGCATGTTAGTACTGTGCTTTGAGACTGTTTTTAAGTGCCTTTGTGACCACATAAACTTGCACAGAATAATATTCGTGACAAAAAGTTGTGATTTCGAAAAGAAATTAACCACATATTTCTTCTGCTGTCCGCTTTTTCACACTACTGCTTCAGATGACCATTTATTTATAGCGTATTTTAGTGCAGAGTCGTATAGACTTTTTTTCTTTGCGACAACCAAGAGTTATGAAGCTTCCTGTTCAGCGCGGGAATTTACTGGCGGCCATGGTCTGAGGTTGAATTCCAAATCAGTTCAAACCGGTTTGCACTTGGCGGAACCAGTAGCCGAACTGACATTTCGTGTGCATGACTGAACCGGAGCAAAATAGTAAGCTATTAAACCCGAACTGGAATAATGACTGGTTCGACACCTTGACCTAGGCTCTGGCTGTTTCTTGGTGCAAAATTAATGAGTAATTTCACTATTTTCTGCCTCCCACAGCACTGCGTGACATGAAATCCCGTCGCAGTGGTTCGCTCCCCTCCGAGGCATTGGGGACGCGGGAAACGGCCGTTCGTCTTCTACGGTACCCTCCATGTACAGATCCGCGCCACTCCAGTCAAGCTCCTGCAACAAGGGAAAAGAATGAGTCTTTACTTGCGACGGCGGCCGGTGAGTGGTGAACTTTGTTCGTCAGACCGGCAGTTTTCCGTGAGTGGACCCTTTCCGTCTCGTGGGGCGGCGAGGCAAGCCTTTGGGTGGTCGATCCGTGTGGTGTGGCCGGGTTGACCGGGATTTGCGAGGGTCGTTTTGGTACGAGCGCGTCCGAGGCAGTGGCCTTCCGACAGTGGCCCTGTGCCCAGTGTCCGAAGCGGTGACCTGGGGCTGCCACCTCGCATCCCTCATATGCGGCCACGAACACGAGTAGCCAGACTGTGGCCACAGGATACAGGGTTGCCGGTCGAGTTGATGGGACGTCCAGTTTTGGGCCGAGACGGTCCCGTTTCGGAGGTTTGTTTCTGCTGTCTCGTCATTTTGTCTTAAAGGGGTACGGAAAACAAATTCTAGACCTCATTTCTTTGCTTAACCATGACATGCGTAGCAGTAGAACCTCAGAAACATCAGTATTTCATTAAAAACACAATAAAACATTTTAAACTGCATGAGGGGGAAATGTTGCTTCTAGAGCAAACTTTCTTATTTGTTGTCAATCCTCATACAATTTGCACAGCATCTTGGCTTTTTGAAGCTGACTACAAATATGTAATTTGTTTTAATATTGATAATTAGTTTTGTTAAAAAAGTTTAATTTAAAAAAAAATATTACGACCAAGGTTGCAAAAAGCTTCAATATTGAAACTCGGATAAAGACATATGCCTGTAAACTAGAAGGTTACAGAATCGAATAAGATATAAATGAAACATCTAGGACAATCTAGAAATGTTTTATGACACTGAATTTTTCAGTTTCGACATCATCATTTGCCTTGAAGATAGGTGACATTACAAAAAAATACCAAATACCATACTGGATATATTTTATACCCTTTATTGGATGCCTTACTTACAGGGAAAAATTGACTGTGTAGAAGTGGAGATATGACTTCCATGAAAGAGCGAAGAGTGTAAAAAGTTCATTTTGAGAAAATCTGGGATAAATGTTCACAATGTAAATTTTACTACACTTAGGAATGCTGGAGCCTTTCCAAGATTCAGGCATAATAGCCCTGCGCGGATAACAGTTTGATCATCTGCATCTGATCCGCATCCGCACACTTCATATCCGCATCAGATTCATATCCACGGACTGTATGCGCATCCAAACCGCATCTGCGAAATTCTGAACCACATCCGACTGTCAATCCGCGCATTGATTTTACATAATAATATCAAGCATAAATAACATAGAAAAACAACATCTGGATGGTATCCTATAAGACGTTTGCTTACCTTTCTACAAAGAACTCTTCGTGTAGGAATATGATGAAAGTTGTTTTTGTTGTATTCTGTTTCATCATATTTATAACATAAGCAATCATCCTTCGAGAGACACATTGCTCCGAAAGGTGATCACAGTTATTAGATAGTCTTGGGAGTCCGTGACACTGACACTATCCAGTTTATGCACTCAAAAGGAAGTAAATTTATATTTATTTTAATTTTTGCTTTGTAAATACCATTTCAAGCTGATGCATATTTTATAAACATGGAAAATTGTCAAAGGACAAGCTAATAACATTGTTCATTATTTTTAGACCAAGCGATAAAAAAAGTGGGAGAGGAAAGGCATTCACTCGCAGCAGCAAAATACTCGTGTATATGTGGCATACCTGCCAAATCTTCCGAATTTTTCGTAAAATGTATGAATTGGAACTAATTTTACGAATCTTGCTTCAAATCTTACGAAAAATATATATATGTATATATATATATATTTTTTTTTTGTTGTTTTTGTAACTCCGTTGTTGGTGGTATCTTGCACCGCCACAAGAGGGCGATAGGTACCGCCCACAGCAGCGTCGTGGTTTTTACTGTCCGTCTATCCGGTGGCCACGTATCGAAAACCAATCCAAAGCTCAAAGCCTTTGTTCATGTGTTTGGCGGTGCACAGGTGCACGTTGGTTCGGCGTGTTCAGGCGTTGTTGGGCCTCGTTGTTTCGGCCAGTTTGAGGCGAGAAGTATGGCGTCTGTGTTTGTTGCACGTGTAACTGTAGCATTCTTCTGGTCACTGTGGCTTCGTGGCGCAATCCCAAACTCGAAACCTCAAAAGAGGTACTTTCAGGTGTTCCTGAAGTCCTACACATTGAAATTTCCGTGCTTCGTGCCGCCACAAAAGCGAGAGAAGTTTGGATTGTGTAGCACGTGCACGTGTGATGTAAGCGTTTCGCACGCTGGCCAGGCTGACATTAAAGGGATACTACAACGAAATTTCGGCGCTCATTTTTTGGTCTATATGTGTTCAAAAGAGCAGTATCACATGGAACATACTAATATCTTGTTAAAAAAGTCTCGAAAAGGAATTTTAAAACGAGTTAAACGATTAGCAAAGAGCACCTGCTGAATGTCGCTAACGCCTCGTTTGTAATGCTCGTCTAGGAACCTTGACAGCTAGTGACGGAGGTTGTCTCGTCTCCGGCCATGACGAGAGAAGGGGGAAAGGAGGAACTCCCCTCTTCCCGAGAATCCCTTTTGTGTGTCGCAGAAGTCGCTATTGTCCCCCTAGAAGATTATAGAAGATTAACCTGTCACTCAAAATTCATACAAAAGCAGCCGCTTCGGTGGCTGGAACGACTAGGCCATCCTCTCGACGTCAGCCTCGCTGTAGCTTTGCTCGTCTTGAGACGACCTACGTCATGATTGCGTTGGATGTCACGTGCTCTAAGCCGGGCCTTCTCCGAGCGCTTGCCAGAGTGGGCCGTTTATAACGAAAAATACAGCCACCAGGATCAAAATACAAACGTGCGATTGTCATTTACGGATATTGTGGATCATATTCAACCTATTTTTGAACACAACGGGAATATTTCAAATTTCGTTGAAGTATCCCTTTAAGCTGCACATCGCTTCGCGTAACCCCCACCCTACCCACCCACCTTCCCCCGCCGCAGCCGCGCGACTTTTACGAATTTGAGAGTCCACAGGTTGGCAGGTATGATGTGGTAAAGCGCGAGTACACCAGTGGGATAATATCACAATATTCAATAATGGCAACACCTATCGGTTACAGTGTTAAACATGAATCCTTAACTGCAGGCTCGGAACCATATACTTAGAAACAACTCGGCGCCGATTTTGAGAAAAAGCAAATGTGCACCGACAAATTATGACAGGTTTGCCTCTCAATATTAAAGGGATGCTAAACCAAAATCTGGATTCCCCAAAACACGTGGCAAAAGCATGCAACGGGACGCTACAAACACCAAAACATCACTCATACAGCGATATCTTGAACGGATGACCATATTTTTTAAAAAAAGAGGCGCATTTGGCAGGAATGTTGACGTCATGTTTTTCCGAGAAGGAGAAGGAACGGCCTCGCGGCCTTGAGGGAGCAAAGCGAAGAGAGGAGGAAACTAGGTATCTTGACGTCATGCGCCTCTTCGGCCTGGTTTAATCTCGACTTCTTTTTGCAAATATATGGCCGTCCATTTGAGATATCGCCTTACTAGTAGTGTCGTGGGGATTGTAGCGTCCCGCCTACATCTCCAGCATTGTTTTTTTTAAAATCCAAATTTTGGTTCACCATCCCTTTAATACCCGCTAACGAGAAGTTTCTTTCCATTGGTACACTCGATGCTGGGATGGTATGCACAAACTGCGCTACAAGAATGAGGTCCTTTAACTCATGCTGGCGCAAGTTCCACCACTCCAGAGGATCGAATTATGTCTCCTCCATATATAATTGTAGGCAAAGAAGCCACTTGCAGGCTTCTTCTATTTTCTTGTGGCTTGTACGTTTTAGGTTTTCTTTGCACCAAAGGATGTTTTCCGCTCTTTTCCTCCCAAACAAAAACACGCTTCCCGGGACGACTGATAGTTCTGCGTTCTTTACTTTTTCTTGTGACAGTATTTTTGGCGAGATAGAACGTTCTAAAGCAATCTTTAGTGAAAATCAGAGACCGTTGCAGCTCTGGAAACCGTGCGCCAGCTCGGCAAGCACGCTCACGAGCGAAAATCTCACGTGCGCAAAGCAGTTGGCGATTTTTCATCTTCAGGTCGCGGGTGCGCTTTGTTCTACATGAGAAACTTCTGAGCCCGTCCAATATGCCTCGCTTTTTTTGCAAAATAGTGGACAGTATGCCGGAATGTCGAATTCTTTGGCGATTTTGAACTTAGGCCGGCCACTTTTCTCAATGCCCCATGTCAACGAATTTTGGACTTGGGTTGGCCACGTTCTCCAATGGCGTCTGTCAATGGAGCCGCGGTGTGAGCTCTGCTACCGTTCATTTCATCCTTGGAAGGGCCTCCACAAGGTACAAGTCACAACATGCTATGCGAGAGCATTGACTACAGGAGGGCGTCTGGTCTTCATTGAGAGATCATGATGCTATAAAAGCCTTAAGGTTCCTTCTCATTAGAAGACCCAAACTTGTGAAGCCCTGCAAAATATAGTAGGAAGCACTTCGTTGTTTCATTAGAAAACAAAATCCTAACTGCTATTCAGGATAACGTTCTTGGTTACCCCCTTTTGTTTCACCTAATGCTCAGTTCTTTGCTTGATAGTTATAGATTTCCTCTCGTGGTCTGACAATAAATGTTGCCCCAAAATTTTATCTGGTCTATACTTTGCCCCCAAAATTAACTATGCCGCACTACAAACTGTGTAGCATTTCATAAAAAAAAAAAAAGGAGGCAGGGATGATTTAGTCCAACTGCAGCGGTGTTGGAGGCCTGCCTGGCGCAAGCACGACATGCTGGAGTGTGGTGGTCAACATGACCACTAGCAGCGGGAGTACGCTGGGCACTTGCATGGCCACAGCCTGCCGTTCCATAGCTGCGACCTGCCGTTCCATAGCTGCGACCTGCCGTTCCATAGCTGCGCCCTGCCGTTCCATAGCTGCCCCCTGCCGTTCCATAGCTGCGACCTGCCGTTCCATAGCTGTGCCCTGCCGTTCCATAGCTGTGCCCTGCCGTTCCATAGCTGTGCCCTGCCGTTCCATAGCTGCGCCCTGCCGTTCCATTGCTGCAGCCTGCTGTTCCATGGCAGTGGCCTGCCGTTCTGTCGCGCTGCCTTGCCGCCTCATTTCAATTAGCGGCAATTACATGTGCTGGATTGATGAGAGGTGCATTAGGGAACTCGGTCCACAAAAAGTTGCCTGTTTGTCACCATCAACCTTTTCCAATACTCGGTACTACATATATTTGAGATAAGTCCCCAGGACAAAAAAAGGCCTGATCCTGTTCCCAATTGCCTGAACATCATTTTGTTGATACGTTGTTCAGCGACATGAGCAATTTAATGAATACTGTCTAGCCCGTCTATAACGAAGTCGGCAGAAATTGGAAATCGTTTGCTATGTACGCTATTTCTTTATATTCAAACTAAAGCAAAAATAGCAAAATTATTCACCTAGGGGAACATGTTTATTCCTTCTGCTGGAAGCCGTCCAAGCTTCCCTGCACGTGCTTTACGAGTCCGCATTGAATGATCGTGGCCTCCAAGTTGTCGAACTGCAAGTCAAAGCTTGGATCAGAACCTCCGAAGTGCACTACGAAGCTTGCAATGAATTGGTCCATCGGCTATGGCTTCGCGGTCATGTTTAGGGGCAGGAACAGCACCTCGACAGCACTTGAATGAGCATTGACGTGACGAGCGCTGCAATTGTCTAACAAAAGCAGCCCATTGTGCTTCTTTTTGTCCATCGCCTTGTCAAAGTCTGTGACCCACTTTGGGAAGATTTCTTTCGTCATCCAGGCCTTCCTGTTGTGGCTATATGCTACTGGCATGGGCAGCACCTTAGCAAAGCCTCGTGGCTTCTTCACCTTTTGGATGATCAGCAGATCGCGCTTGTCCGAGACGTCCATGTTCGAACAGATGAGCACCGTAATGCGGTTCTTGCTATTTTTGCCTCCCACACATTTGTCAGTCTTAACCGCTAATGTTTTCGCTAACAGCAGCTGAAATCTGGTTTCATCTGCGTTGTAGATATCCTTGTCGGCATACGTTCCAAGGATGCGGTCCATGTTGTTTTCCATCCACTTCTGGAGTGACTGGTCGTCAATGGACGTGGCCTCCCCGACAATGTTCTACTTATCTTCCACTCCTGGGTAGGTGGCACCTTGAATTCATTTTCGGTCACTGCTGCCAACGTCGATATCCAGAACGGCCTTGATCTTGCTGGCGTTCTTAATAATCATAGACAAACTAGACTGCACAATATTGCTCTTTTTGATGTTCCTGCGGACCTCGTCCAAAATGGCACGCTTCAGTTTCAGGGACAGCACCTCCCTTTTTCCCACCGACGTCCCGGAGCTCACGGAACTCGACATGGTCGACAAACCGGCGGTGCAGAAGAATCAGGCAACAGTCCGAGTCTATTCCGTGGAATTCTAATTGTGCAAGTCCGTTGTCCATAGGGGAAGTCAGGATGGCAGAAGGAGCAAAGCAGGATGGGGTCAGTACGATACGAAAAGCAGTGGACGAAGGACGATAACAACGGGGGTGCCCTGCGTGACCCGTGCCACGGTGTGTTCGAAACTCCAAACGATATGACTCTGGAGTTGGCATTGCACAACGCATACACCCCACTCAAGTCTTACAAGTGTGGTACTCGCGACTCGCGAGTATGCGAACAGGACGACGCTACCTTGCGTTAGCTACCCCTGCCGACTCAGTTATTCTGGCGCGTCCAGCAGTTAGTTGTACCCATCGCATGACAGCAAAAGAGAAACATTGATGATTGGCCGCTAAGAATGCTGCTGTCAGTGAATTAACTTGGTTATTTTTTCTCCAGTTTGTTTTGAGGAGCCTCAAAGACATGGCACCACATGAGGCGGTGCGGTGAAGCAATCTCATAGGAGCTACGCGATAGGGAGAGCAGGCCACGCTGCAGAGGCTGCCGGCAGCCGAATTTCGAGCAGTGTTTTGCTAAAAATTTTCAGAAAGGTCATAAATAATTGTGATTGCTTGATTTTTTGTCTGGTCGGCACGAAATTTGTCTTCGTTATATCCGCTCAGGCTTTTTTATTTACTTTGTTATAACGTGACCCAAATTGCATTAAAAATGCAGAAATGGGAAGGGAAATTTCGGGCCAGGTTTTGCTGTATATAACATCTATCTTGAGTCAATCTGTAATCTTCTCTGGTCACACCTATACGAGGAACACCAAATCGTCATAGTTCTTTTTTCTTATAATTAGACCATCAATTCTGTACCATAACCGTGCTGTTCAAAGGATAGAGACAGCGAAAGCATGCACTAACAAATATGGATGCGTTCACGTGTACGAAGACATGTCAGATGACATCCACCGCCGAGGCACACGCCACTTAAGGAAGTGGGTGCCATACCTGCTCCAAGCCGGCGGCCCTCGCCTCTGCGAGGTCCACCAGGCGTCACTGGTCTTGCAAGTATTCTTCGGCAGCATCGTGGGATGCCTTGCGTTTTCGATGCCATAGTGCTTGCACAGGGCAACTGTGCAAGGGCGGCTGGCTGGCTGGGAACTAAGGGTGAAAGCAATTGTAAGCAAAGTAGGAGGTTAAACGAGACAGAAGTGGTACATCAACAAGCAAGAACTCTGTCAAGCTCCATGTGCTATCTTAAAAAGTCTGGGAAACCCCTAATAAATACCATAAAATGCCCAGCATGTGCACGTTTCACAGCACATGTACAGACGCTACTTTTAAAACGTGTGGAAATTATTCAGTAGGTCACTTAAAGCGACCACTTGAACTGAACCTGCTGTGTCAGCTGCTTCTCCGAGCACACCCATGCACGGCAGTCAAGCCTGACGCGTGTGCAACGATTCGAAACATTCCCTTGTAAATATTTTTGTTTAGCTGAACATGTGCCTAGACACTTGGTTTTCAGGAATCTGTTGCAGTTAGATTGCACATTTCATCAGTATTTTCAGGCAGCACTGTTAATGTGCTGCACGGATATAGTGCATGCGCAGAAGTAAACACTTGAATGGAGGCATCTTTTTCCTCCAAGGTTATCTTGTGGACGCGTGTTTTATCGCACCTCAAGTCTGAATGTACTGTTACGATAGAAAACAAAAGCTACTGATGCCGGGTCGGCCGGACCGGGGAGCGATGCCTGGCGGGCCGTGCCTCGACAAATGCTACCCACGATCAGCGCCGCAGGAAACAAGCAGACGTCGGTTCGCGGGACCAAACTGCACGGGCGGCAGGCCTGGTGGCTGCCACTACGATGTGGTGTCTGGTAGCGATACTGGCTCTCGTTCAAATAGTCTGGCGGGTCGTGCCTCGACTTTCATTCAGGGAGTCTGCTCACTCACTGCCTCCAGTGGGGTGGGATCTCCCTTATAAAGGGTGCCCCGACCCCAAAATACGAGCCCCTTGGGAATTGAGGGGTTAGGGAGAAAAGGGAAGGCGAGGAGGAATCGTCCCTTGTGCAATCTAGCTGTTCCGGCGTTACTTCGCCAAGCGCCACCAGCGCCATCTATGGGAGGTCCCGTGCAGTCACATTTATTTTTGTAACAGTACTGTAACAAGCCGTGCATTTGTCTCATTTTAGGATCCTGTTTAAATTTGTTCTCGCAGGCAGGACATATGTGGTCTGAAACGCTGATAGCAATGCTTGCTATAGTGAGCAACTTGCCGGATGTGACGGTCGCGCCCTCCTCTCCAACTGACCAATGCCCGGAAGCTGGTGGTGCAGCTTGGGGTCCTCTTTTTATTTGTTTGAATAATGAAGGACATATATGAACTGAAACACGGACAGCATCGCTTACCATATTGAGCAACTTACGGGATGTGCCGCTTGTCCCCGGAACCTCCCCAGCCGAATCCGTTGTGTGTGACTCAGGTAAAGGAGGTGGTGATGCACCCTGAAAGGGGTGCAGGGCTTTGAAAGTAAATCTCTCCCTTGTGTAATGACAACAGGGGCTTGGAGGCAAAACAATACTTAGTGGTGAAATGGAATTTGGAGTGCGGTGGCTGCGGAAGAAGAAGAAAACTTCTTCCTCGAGACTCTCGAGAGAATGATCACGAGCAGACACGGGTCAGAATGATTACAACGCTCACTGCAATCTCTACGATTAAATTGTGATATATAGAAATTGAGTTTTATGAGGAGAAACATAATGCTGTATGCTTCAGTAATATTCACAAGTGTTGACACGGCACTAGAAAACAACATTCAGGAAAAGAGTGTGTTTTGCTTTTCTCCTGTGTTCTTCAGACTTCTCGCATTCTGATGCCAAGCAGAGCACAATGTGCATGCTCCATGCACATTTCAAACTATAATCAAAACAAACAAATACCCAGATTGGAAAAATCGGCATGTTAGATGGGAGTTTACCCCTTATGTTCAGATGCAGCCTCTAATTCCTATGGGCATCCTCACCAGACAGCACGCTTGATATGGTGTGCTCGACACATGGCTCAAAATCTGTAGAATGTGCTATGCGGCCATCCTCAAATTGTCAGGGTCCATACAGTATATAATACAACACACGTATAGGTCTTAGGCAAAAGTAGTCTAGCTTTGCGTGTCCCACTTTTCCTTGTTTGTGTTCATTTGGCTTTAGAGAAGCTTAGGTTCTTACTTCTGGCCGCCCCAGCAGCATTGCCAAGCCACAGTCGTACAACGCGTCGGCCTCGCCGGGCACTGAGCCGCCGCCTGTACCGCCGGATACAAACGTCACAAAACGAGTTCTCTTTGATTCGGAGGTATACATAAGTTGCCCTGACGGGAAATTGGGAGGTCACAGAGCTCTCTTTTGATGTCAGTGTAACTCTGCAAAGCCAGTGCTTCGGAATATTGATGGGTACATAAAAGTTACACATCAACACGTCAAGGGTCAAAGATCACTGCTACTCAGTCATTGCTTTGGCGGAAATCGATTGCCTTCCTCTTAGCCCACGATACTTTGTCAGCCCAGTAATGGCAAAAAAAGAACACCGACTATATAAAGGAGCACATTAGCGTGTTTGAGCACTTTTCCTTCCTCAAGGCGGCTGTCATTCCGCTAGATCATCTCCTGACTCAGGGCGTGCGCGGAGTCCACGTAGTGCGCGTATGCCTCGTAATGGAATCCGGATTCGTCGACAAAATATCTGCCGTGGTGGAAAAAATCTAAATAATGTGCGACCTTCGGTCGATCCAACTGACCGATGTCGGCGGTCGAGAATACGTCTGGAAGGTGGAAAAGTGCGCGGACATAGTTTTGAACACTGTCGACGACGATTCCCAAGAAGATAGCACCGTGACCATGTGCGAGGAGGTGGTCGAGATACGACTGGGGCGCGACGAGGAACCGATAGAGTTTACAGAGCCCAGGACGGTCAAGGTCGTCTTCCCCATACCACTCAAGGGATCGTCGGTCGTCGGCGCTCACGACAGCACCTACGTCCTCTTGGCCGTTAAGTCGGCCTCCTCCACCGGAAACGCTCTGTGGTGGACTCGCTACGCCTGTCATCAAACGTCGCTCTACGTTCCGGATCCCATTGCCCGATCGAGCAACGGCAGAGGACGTTACGCGGCACGAGCTCATTTTATTTTGAGAATAATAAACACGAGAATATTTTTACAATAGTATCAAGGTCACCCCCCCCCCCCCCCCCACCTGTGAAGCGTCGTCGGCGGCCTGACTTGCTTTTCACACACTGAGTGTCGATACTATTCAACCGAGTACATGGTACCCGGACGATTGGTTTTTGTGGGAATAAAGACAGTTTCTGGTTTGCGAGTGTTTTTTTATTTTACGAGTAGATCACCGCACGGTCGTAGTGGCTGTTGCTGTTGTACACCCTCTCGATATAATATTTCGGAGTGTCGGCGTGTCTCACGACGATTTTGCGCAACGTCGTCCACGTACGCTCCCGGTTGAGCTGGGTTCCGAGCTCGGCCATGAAAAAGTCAGTGTCCACCACTTCCAAAAATCCCCTGTAGTCCAGTTCGTACTTGGGAATCATGGACGGGGACGGCGGGGCCAACACGTCGCAGTCGTCACTCCACTCGATGTGATGGTTTCCTACGTACTTGGCGATGACGCTGCGTAGGAAACACAGGATCCTCCGCAGCCCGACAGCATCCGTCCGTTTTGATGGCACGATGCGCACAAATATCAAAAGATAGTGCTTCGTCACCGCCAACTCGAAGACGTTCATATAATGACAGGCATTTATAATATTAATTACGTCGACTATGCGTTGATCCACCGGGTCGACGGCTGGGTTGGCAAAGGCGACCACAAAGTTCTTGATAACACAGTTGTCCTTGCCGGAGACAATGTGCTCGCACTCTATAAAATATTCGAGGACGTGCTTCATGGCGGCGCCGAGATGTTTGGGTACATCCACGTACGGTTTAAAAAAATCGTCACACGAGAACATCTTGTGCAGATTCTCGTAGTTGAGTCCCACTGGTTGGCGGTGCAAATTTTCTTGAGGATAGACATGGTGCTGTAGTGTCGGGCTGGCTCGAAGTAAGACTGGGTAGTCGCATCGCAGAAATTCTTAATGTGGCACAAACGCCCTCTACTGTCCGCATGCTGAAAAACTGTGTTTAATACCCCAGTCGGCAAAGGCGGCAGCGTGATAGTGTAATCTTAGTTATCTGCAGCCCTGATACTGCGGCCGGCCGCCGAAACTGCTCCGTTGGATTCAGACATTCTGCGTCCGTTCTCTTCGAGCACCGGAAGTGGACTGAGTGCCACTGATACCACTGTCTCCGTCGCGCTTAGACGGTGCATGCAATCGTGGGAAGTGCGGGGACTTGCTGGTCAATGACGCTATGTCAAGTTCAGAGTATGGTTTTTGATACTTTTACAAGGTGGCGCTTGAGGTGTACTCGTTGGGAAATGTGGGGGAACGCCCCTGTATGGTGCTATGTCACGTTTAGAGTATAGTTGCTGACATTCATACAAGGTGGTGCTTGAGATTTGCTTGTGGGAGAGTGTGGGAACTCGCTGCTGGATGGCACGATGTTCAGTTAAGCGTAAATAGTGATATTCCTATTTGCGACTGCAACTAACTATAGGTGGTGCCACTCGTTTTCCAAAATAGCGGTTATAGTGAGGTTCAGAGATACGTGCCACCTTTGAGCCTGCCTAATGTGCTGGCATACTATTTCTGGTAATACAAGGAAGCTAGGATGTTATGAGCGCAGGTCATCTCTTTATCCTGAAAACAACAATGTTGTTTAGCGTAATATTTACGCATGGATGCACGTTTTTATTCTGGAGCGAAACCGAAACTAACGTCTATTTTAGATTTAATTTCTCTATATAGGTTTTAATTTCGGATTCTTTCATAGCTCAAGATGTGTCTCACATCGTAGTTATTTAGTTAGAGAAGTTTTTCCAGGCACTTCGAAATATTTTGGAGATTTCAGTGTCCCTTTATTGTAGCTGTTGAAAAAACCTGTGCTGATATTTGTGCATTGTCGCTGCCTTTTATCGCTCAGATAATTGCCATGGAAAATAATGAACTGCAGGCCTTTTAATGGGCTTTTGGGTATTTAGATGATTAATTGGTTTAATCCAATTTTGTAAAAATGTCACCAAAACGTATAAAGTAATAAACACTGTTCTCACTATGAGAACCCAAAGACGGAATTGGTGTCAGACAGCCGAAGTGTGTGTTTTTTTATAGCAACGCGTGACACATACGACTTTATACTGCAACCAGTGTTTGACTGTTCGTCTATCTTGATAACAATTTTATCTGAGCAAGAAGCGAGATGCGCCCTTCCAAGCTTCTGTCGCAGCTTTTTCCTTTTGCCAACAAGGCTGTAAAGTGTGACGACAGTAAGAATCCTGATTATGGTCCGGAACTGCGAGCAGGGAGCAAGAACGCCCTTCCAAGCTACTGGACAATATTGTTCGTTTGAACAGCTACCGGGGTCCTGTTTATGCTTCGTAACGGAGCAATGTTACGTGAAACGTTGAGCTCTGTCACATTGCAGACATTTTTTCACCTGGAACATGTAGGTTTGACCTTACCCTTCAATGAGATCACTCTGAAGATTGAAGTGATTAGCTTTTAGTGTGTTTTGGAGGAATGTAGACGAAAAATAATTTCTTCTGCCCTCCGAGATGAATTGTCGTCTGCAAAATGGAACTTCTCACCCCTTCGAATGAGCATCCACAACTGCAAGGAACGTTTTCTCTGCTTTTGGCATGGTGCAGACACTTAATACTTTGTCTTCTTTCTCATATGAAAAGAAATTTTTATTTGCTGTTAGTCTATTTTGATGCATAGACATTTAGACAGAGGGAAGCTAATGTAACGTCTGACGTTCGTGCCGTAGATAGGTAGGGTGGGAGCCTGACCACAATGCAGCCAGCCTTCTCCGCAGCATCATCCACCCGGTACTTCAAGAATTGTGGCTTGACCGGCGCCACAATGTCAAGGAGCTGCTTCTTGGTCATCTTGGCATTTCAGGAAATTGCTTTAGATGTCAGTCACTGCTGGATCACTTCTTTCCGGGAAACCGTCGACTGTACAGTTTCTAGACGTCGGGAATGGTACAGAGCATTGTCCATGACGACAACACCCCCCTCGGTAGACTTTCCAGAACTTGGTCGAACCACTCCTTGAATCGGTTGCCGTCCATTTCCTCGTGGTAATCGAATGTCTTTTTCTCGTGGAAGACGTCCAGGCAGCCACTGACGAAGCCTTTCTTGCTGCCGATGTGCGTAACTATCAGGCGTTGGCCCTTCCTCGACGGCTGCTTGAGGCCCGTCGTAACCCATACATGAACGCTTGGTGGGACGTGGTTGTGTCAACCCGCACCATCAAGACAGCGTGCCTTGCCGTCACCCATGTCTCGTCCAGGTAGTAAATCTGCCGACTCTCTTGCCTGTGACGCAGGTATTTCTGCTGCCACAGGATGATGTCCTCTCCCTTGATCAGAAGCGAGTTTCGCCCTTTTTTTTTTCACATCTGAAGCCAATGTCGTGAAGAAGAGGGCGCACAGTCCATGCCTGCAACGAAGGGAGTTCAGGGCTTGCACAGAACTCGACCTTTATCTTCTCGACCGTGGGGATTTCGGCAAAAGAAGCGATGTACGCACAATCTGAGCATGTGCAACACAAAGTCCTCGTACTTGGCGTTGCGCCGCCTCTTGCCTACGCTTGCTTGGCGTTTCCGAGAGGGCGTGGAGAGTGTCGGCAGACATCCATGGAGTTTATCTGCTACCTTAGCTTCCTTCCTGAGCTTGTGGACGATCCCTACGCCGACTGCAAGCAGCTTGCCGACAGCCTTGCATGCCTTATCCACGGTAAGGACGGGGTTCGCGTATTGCGTCTCGACGTAAGCGTTCATGATCATTTGCCGTTGGCCACTGTTGAGGACCAAGCGGCTCCTGTTTCTTGTAGAGATGCCTTGGTGTCGACGGTGGAGATGTACCAGGCTCTCTCAACAAGAAAGAATCTGGAGAATCACTTTCCAGAGTCAACACGTTGGAAGCCATGACGGAAGGTAGCCGAAAAAAGCGAATGTCAATGACTTCGGGAGTTGCGAATCCGTCAAAACCCTTCTTTACATGCGACTACACAATACGTGCGCACTTACGACCAATCTGTGCAGGAGCCGTCTCCGTAATTTGAGCTTTGCGTAATCTCTCTTTTAAATCTAGGCTATCTAAAACAGGGTAGATGGATGGAAGAATTGATTCATAGCGAAAGTTAGACAATAACCTGCGCCACCTAACCACATTTTTTTTTAGTTCAGATTATATTGTTTAGGCCTATTTACTTAGATTCAACCCTTATTTGTTTATTTATATAAAATCAAATCCCAGGTGCCCTTTTTCTCCCTTGAAATAGAGACCAAATATTGCAAAATGCCCCTTTTCTGAGATATATAAATATAAAAAAAGGACATGTCGCAATGTTAGGTCGTGCTTTAAACGAAAGAAAAAAGGCCTGCGTAACTGTAACTTTGGGTTTTTTGTGACGCTTGAAGTAAAAGTTTCTTTTTGGCTATTCATACTTCTCTGATGATGATGGTCCTCGGCGTCCTGTTGGGGACGCCAAATCCAGGAGCCGTTAGATGGTTGACGTTTCCCAGGTGTTTATTAGTCCGAATAATTACTGACTGAACGTTCATTACAAAAAGTCAGGGACACGGCATCATTGCCGCGCACCCAGCTCATATGCCAAAATCCCCCCGCCCGACACGGGCCTTTGTAGGAAAGGTCCTTCTCTCCCTCTGGCCAGGACCAAGCAATAATTATAAAACCGAAAGAGATCACGTGGCATACACCTGTCCAATAAACGTCCAACAGTAAATACAACACCTCGTCAGTTCTCCAACCACCAGAACCTAATTCCTTGTCTAATCGGCCCGTGTATTGTTTGCCGCCTGGCTGGCGCCTGAGCACCGACTGCCCGGATCGGGTAACATGCGCACTGTTTGCGCCATAAAATTAGATCTTTAGTGCCCAACGCCCATCAGCGGCTGCTTTTTTTTTTTTTTTTCACCAGAACTTCTATTTATTTTTGCTTTTGTTTCGCACGAGATGCATATTCTGTACCAGGTGCATACTCTGCGCATATAATAATCTCATTCACAGCACACTTCGAAAAATTCCTACAAATAAAATCACTCTTTGATATTCGATTCAATATTTGGCTTTTTTTTTTTCTTAATTTGATTCGGTATTCAATTCGATAACTACTATTTGGTATTTGCACACCCCCATTTAAAAGTAATGCCAAAAATGCTTGACG